TCTTTTGCACCACCCACGCCAGAGACTTTGGGTACAAAGATTAAAGAAGAACACAGTTAAACAGCTGCTGTGTTATTGTTTCCTGAACTTTCTTTATTAGGGATGTGAAGAAAGGCTGTCACTTTTGTTTAATCCTGAGCTTTTACCTTTAAGCCCTTTTAAACATATCACATCCTGCAGCTTGGAATAATGATGCCCAGGAAGAGCTATTATAGAGGAAACAAACTTCAGAACCAGACTGGTGAATCATCAGATACAGTTCCATGACTTATGCAAGGATGTTCAGGCACATTGGGACTGTTATTAAAAAGTCAGCATTAACATCAGCTGCAGCGTTTTGTCTGGAGCACCAATACGTCCTCTGCAGGAACAAAAACATAAAAGGAGGTAGTGTTTCTTCTTTCCTGATAATAATGTCGGGTGTAGGTCAACAATCGAGTTTAGAAGCAATGAAAATATGGAAGTCACGTAATGAGGTTTAGAGATAGAATTTAGGAAAATATTGTGGATGTTATTTTAAAATCCAAGTATTGACCTAATGTTCCTTCCTTTTTAACAATACAATGTTACAGATAAAACTTTACATGCTTGTCTGATCAAGATGGCATATAAAGACTTTCTGACAGGCTACAATGAGGTTGGGTGGACATATAGTTTTCAAATGCAGCATGACATGGTAGACATTGAAGAACAGGTTGGCCAGATAAGATCAAATTATTCTAATTGAGGTACAGCGTGAATCTCCACTATTTTACTTTGATCACTCTGTTTCATCCCAAAAAAGAAATGTGCACAGACAGCTTAATGTCCTCCATTCTTCAAAGACCATTGTAAATTGCCTCTTTCTTTCAAAGCAAAAATCTTTATGCAATTCTGTTTTTTCCAGAGTGTCCCGTCGGCCATGTGTTGTCAGGCTTTTCGTATGGGATGGGCAGCATCAAAGTCACAGAATTGCAAAACTGAACCACTGTGGAGGCTTTTTAACTAAATATTTGAACAAGACAATATTTTAGTTTGTTTTCTATGCATCTAACGGAAGAGGTACCTCTTAAATCACTATCAAAAAGATAAGCTGAATATTTGTGTAACTCTTTCCTTAGAGTAGAGTAGAATAGAGTAGGTCACTGCACTATTTGTCACCTGGACAGATGGTATTTCACGAGAAAGCTGCAGGCAGTTTAGGATTAAAATGAGCAAACTTTCTTTTTGAGGAGGGTGTGATACAGTTCATGCCTTGTAATGAGGGTAAACATTTTTCCATCATGGCCCTGTACCATAGCCAGATTCCAGCCAAAAGTGCCAAACAAACAAGCGCATCACAGCTATAGCTCTGTCTGAGGCTAGACAAGCCTGAGCGGATTTTTCTCTTGTCAAGATTTTCACTCAGACGTGTATAGAGAGGGAAGCAGAAAAGCAAAGATGAAATCCATATCCATTCACACAACACTGTAATACCAAGTCAACCCACGTTCTAAGGGATAGACTGTCAAAGAAAAACACCATGCTGTCTCTCATCTTCTTACCCAGCTAAAAAAGCGTAACAAGTCAAGCAATGTGCGTAAGATAAAGGAGACATTGAGAACTGTCAATCACAAAGACAGCACAGAAAATCCTCTCCTAATCTTTAAAACATCAGCACTGAAAATGCGATGATAAGTAAGACATTATAAAGTCAACTTTATTTTTTTTAATGCAATCTTTCGTTCAATCTAGACGTATTATTTTGAGCAATTATAAGGAAGCATTTTTGGCAAATATAATGGGAATATTTCAGATTTTTTCTTTATTGAGATATTGTTCACACAATCCGGGTATTTTCCCAGAATCTCTGAGGTTCATATCTGAAGCTGACAGCTGTACTGAAATGATGATTAACCTTTTCTTAAGCACAGAGCTCGCTCCTATTCCCTCATAAAACATGTTTGCACTTGTTGATAGCCGCTTGCTTGTAAGAGATCTTTTTTTAATGTACCAAATTATATTTCCTGTCCACTTCATTTTCTGTGCCTCGCTCAGTCCTACTGGACCCAGTGATATGTGACAAAATAACCGAAACTGTTAATTGTGTGATCGAGTACCTTTTAAATGCTCCATTTTATACTCTTTTACCAATGATACTCTATAGGCTAACTCTCTCCTCTTCCTATTTCTATCATATCATCAAACTCAAATGACATGATCTCTCCAACCAAACTTTGATATATTCTGACCGCTGTGCTTCTGTCTGTTTGACCAGAACTCTGCAGGTGTTGGAAGGCATGCCAGCCGCCCTCCAGTCAGAACTTTGGTCTGATGCTGCTCAGAGCCGATGAAGACCTTCTATGCTGTTCCCAAATAGCAACAGCCTAAAAACAGCGTCATGCGACCGTAGGCTGGATTCTCATGCAGGAATTTGTTTTTATTGGAGAAGCCTGGTTATGGTTTCAGCGATGTTGACTGGTTCAAAAGAGTCAGAGCTGCACAACACATCTGCCTCGCACGACTTCTTTGGACCTCTGTCTGCCTTCCTGCCAACGTGTTTATTCCAGCTTTTGTCCATGTCTGCCACTACAAATTCTGAAGGCACCATATTCTTATTCAGTCTATTAAACAATCCTTGCAAGTGTGTTGCAAAAAAAGTGACTTACATAAAATCCAAACTTGGCACAGCTACCACATTATTTCTGTGCTTCTGCAAGGATGAGATTAAATGGCAGTCATTCACCTTAAAACAGAGCACCTGGAAAAAAAAAACACTCAAGGAAGAAAATTGGCACTTTCACTGTCTTGACTTTAAGTACGGTACAAGAACTGACATGAAAATGTGGTAATAAGGTCACTGCTGAAGGGGGCAGAATGAGATCAGGAGGAAGAAAGTAAATGAATAACAATGCCACCTGATTTAATAAAAAGGTGCTGCTGTGTTTGATGAGAACAGACAACTTGCAACCCACCCAACTAAACAAGGACATGGTGAAATACTAAGGCCTGGGGTTCTGTCTGCTGCACCGAAACCTTTCAGACGTTTGCAAAAAGATTTTTTCATAATCTATTTCACTTAGTCACTTGTTACTTTTAGCACTAATTTGTTTATTTCTAATCAAATTTAGATTAAGTAATCGAGTCACAAACACCACAGTGTTCCACTTTCTATGCTTATGAAGAGCTTTATGAGTAGGGACGTGGTTAACTCGAATAAAATGCATGGCTTTACAGAGATTCTTCAAATATATAATTACCAACACTGTAGCCATTGTGTTGTGGGACTCAGTTGCAGCTTTGCTTAGAATAAATCACACACTTGCCAGGCGTAGGAGTGAGAGAAAGCTCTGCAGAGAAAGGTGAGGAGTCTAACCGTGCTCAGTCTGGCAGAGGATTTCAGGTGGTATGTCAACAGACTCTGTCAAACTTTTAACATTTATGTATAACGATGTGTGTATGAGGAAAACATGTTTGTATTCTGAATAGGTGGTGGTATTGCATTCTAATGAGTTAGCTTCACACTTAAGGGTTGAAAATTCATTGCATGCTTGTGGAACAGGTTACATTAGAGTCTCTTGATCATGTTAAAAGATTGAACGACTTTTTATTTGTCATTTTAGTCCTGCAATGAAAACGTGTTGACACCCAGGGAAGGACAGTGCTATGAGTAAAATAAAATAAAGTTTGGTGAAGAAATGAAAAAGTAGTGTTGAGTGAACGATAAAGTGTGAAGTAAACCGTTATAAATATAGGAGTTAAATTCAGTTTGGGGTTGTTATTATTACGCTTTTCTATTGCACTTTATTTTTCTATTGAGGGTTTGAGGACCAAATTACTGTCAGCGCACCACCTTACCAGATGCTGGACCTCCTGCTCACACTAGGTCTCATCATTATCTGCAATGAGGCCAACCACTGTAGAGTCACCTGAAAATGTAACTATAGCGCTGGAGGAGTGGACTGGGACACTGTCCTGTGTGAAGAAGGTGGAGAGGGCCAAACTGAGCACACAGCCCTGTGCAGCGCCACGATTACTGTGTCAGACGTCTGGTTCCCCGTCCTGTCACTGAGAGGTCTGTTGGTCAAGAGGTCCATAATCCATGAACAGTGTTAGCTGGATAGTCCGAGCTTTATGAGGGTGTGGACCAGTTTGAGATGGAATACAGTGTTGAAAGTGCTGCTGAAGTCCACAAAAAGCATCCTAATATAGGCTGACATTTAAATGGTAAAGTCTCTGCTGCCCATTTGAGAAGGCTACAGAGCCTGCAATTTTGAATCCGTCTGTGATTATTAGCAAAGTATTTTGATATGACGGGATCTTCATTTTAAGAAATGTATTGACCAGTCATTTTAATGCAACTAATTTTATATTTTATGTTAAACATACATTAAAAAACAGTTCCTCTTTTAAAATAATGTCTTATTGGTTTGTAAATTTATTTAGCACGTATGCACAAGGTTGTTAATTAAAACTGGCCATCCAGTTTCTGGTACTGTCATGATCTTTTTTATTTATTTTCTTTTTTTATTCTGTTGAGTCTCTTGTCTTTCGGGTCTGTATTTTCCATAAACTATCCATGGTTTCAGCCACTGTCTTCGATCTGGTCATTACCCTTCGTGACCTCAGTTAACTTGATGGTTCTCAATTCCCTTTTCCACACCTGACTCTTATTCAGTCTCAGCTTTAGTCACTGGACGAAAACCTCTGCTGACTTTTATCTTTAAGTAAAACAGTCCTGCGGGGTTTTATTAATAACTGGGTCGCTGTTCTGGAGATGAAAATGTTTTGATCAAACAGACAAAAAACACAAACGCATGGAGTTGAAATGTGTTGTTTAAGTTTCAGCAGACCACTTATCACTACCACATGTTCTTCCAAAAAAAACAACTCACAATCCTTGAAATCGCGTGACCCAGAGTCGCGTCTCACCCGGAGAAATAACTCTGCTTCTGCACGAAGTTCCACATAGGTTAATCGCAGTCAAGCGGTGATTAGGGATGAGGTTTTTTTTTTTAAATGGAGAGAGTGCTGCGGAGGACTTCCCTTCAGGCTCCAGAACAAGTCTGGACTGCTCTGCTGCTGCTTCTGCTGCAGCCTGAGCTCAGCTTTCAGCCTCCAGAGCCAGCAGCAGCCCTCACAGTGCTGACAGCACCACGCAGAGGTGCAACCGCTGGATTCCGCTCTCTGAGCTGGCTGCTGACCCTGGAGGTTCATTGCGCTTTCTAAAAAATTTGGATTTGGACACTGGGGATAATACACGCCGCGTGGCCCCCTAAACCCTGTGTGAGTGGATATGCCACAGGTGGAAAGGTGAGCAGCGGCCGGTGCGCGGAGCAGGGATCCTGAGGTAAGAGAAGACATCTGCTCAGCATGAGTGTGGCTCAATTCAAAAGCTATGTTAGAAAAATAATGATTTTTAGATCCCAGCAAAGAACTTGTTGGAGAAAGACTAGATTGTCCATTCATCTCCTAATCTTCATAATTTGACATATGTAATACTGGCAGAAATAATATTTTTCACTGAGGAAATAAAAACAAGGCACTCATTTATATGCCATTGTGCTTGCAAAGTTTGGTTTGAGTGCTGTTGCACAGGACAGGGGTGTGTTACAATGTGACCTCAGCTGAACTTTTTTAGTACAAAAGGCATAGACAGTTCATGATGCTGCACAGAAGAGAGGAATTTCCTCCCCCTCTCATATTTCCCCCCTCTGTTTCAATTTGCATATCTGCTCTACACATGGATCCATCCACACCTTCGTTGCACTGAAGTAATATCTGAAAATACTTAGGGAGTCAGGCTCCTGCTCTCTGCCTCACTTTCACCCCCTCCTGCCCCTCTTGTTCACGGCATAGCTGCCCTCATGCTTTGGTGAACTTTTTGGGTCGCCACTCTGGTGTTTTACTGCCAGAGCAGAGATCAGTTCACATCTCTCGCATCCCATCTTTGCAGGACTGCCTCTGCTGGTAACTATGTGCTTGATGTGTGCTTTTGTTGTCTTTAGAACAGAAATGGAGCATTAGACCAGAGAAATGAACCTCCGACCATTTGTGTTTTTGAAAGAATACAACAATCCTTTGAAGACGGATGCAGCCATTTACCATCTGGCTTTTGTTAGCAACATGCAAAGCTTGTGAAATGCCGAAATAGATCAGAGCATATTTTGAAATTTGTTCCAGTGAAGGGTCATTGAAGATTATCAAATGATTGTGTTGTCCACATTTATATTTACTCTAGCTGAAGAAACCATTAATGTCAGAAGTGAGAAATATAATACTTGACTTGAGGGGTCATGTGTGACGGGGTCTGTCTTTCAGATGGCTGTGGAGTAGGACTCTTCTGTTCACACTAGCAGCTGCTTTCAAGTACCAAGAATGCAAAATCTTGGTGTGTGAGAATTTTTTGCAGTCTTTGGTAATTCACTGCGACGCTTCACCCCCTTTTGACCCCTCCAAATCCTTGTCCACTCATGTCACAGTCAATCCCTGGTGGAGTGTCATGCTGGGGTAGGCTGGCTCTTACTGTACTCTGTCCCATTGCAGTAGCACTACTCCCCTTGGAGAAAGGCATCCGTACCAGACTAGTTTCAGAAATGAAAAAGAAACAAACACTTTGCTTTTGTACAGCACACAGACGTTACTGAAGGGTTAGTCCAAAGCTTTCTCACATATGTTTTTTTTTTTTGTTGAACAGTTTGCATGGTTATATGCCCAGTGGTGGGATTGGGCTACATTTAAACTTCAACCTGTCCTTGTCCCAGTATAGATTAACAGAGGGAAATCAAGCAATTGACCAGTGTGGACCAATACTGTGGATTGCGTAAAACTATGTTTATAAAATAAGGATTTTGTTATAATTTAATGGGCTCATTATCTATCATAATTTCTGACAAAAGATAGAGAAAAATAAAGTTAATGTTAGCATGGGAAATGGGATTTCCTGAAGTTTTTGTGAAATGAACATGCCTGCATTTGAAAACTCTGGTTTTAGTCGGATAAATGGACCATTTTTTTCTCTGTGTGGTGTCTTGCAAACATATTCATTATTTTGGTTTACACCTGTAGTAGGTGTGGTCATGCCTGTAAGCCAGTTCCTTCATACTTTCAACATTCCAAGTCTGGAGGCGCACCAGGCACTTCTCTAAATTAAAAATTACTTCAAAAAGATACATTTAGCTTCCCACAAGTCCTTTATGACCAAAAGATATATACAGCAGGATGGTGTGTGCACTCAGATTAGGCCTGAAATAGAGCAAATAATATCATAGACCAGCAGGTAAAGGAAGACCTTGGCAGAAATCTGTTGTTCGTGACTCTTACTTGTTGCTGCTTCTTTAACAGTCATATGATGTTTTCGATAACCCCTCACATCATTACTGCAACTAAACTATGATCTGGAAAGTTAGGCCGAGATCCAGCTTCTTAAGAAAATATTATGTGGCCTCAACTCCTAGCATACGAAGCCAGATATACCCAGCTGAGTATTTAAATGGATTTAATGGAGGAACTAGAAAAATAGCATGAAAGGTGCATAAGCTGATGTGGTTTGTTAGTGGTTAATTGTACATAATTTACTTTATGAGTGAGGAAATCTTAAAATAAATAGTTTGAATCTTGAAAAGGGAAAGGGGGGATTACATTTGGAACATATTAAGTTTTATGTGCCTGATGAGGGGGAAAACAACAGCATCTGTTGAGTTTGTGGGCTCTGCATCTTTCTGAAGGAGCAAACATTTGAAGGTAATTTGGTGCGTTTTCTAGTGCAGCACAAAACCATTTATTCATTGTGCAATACGGATATAGTCATATGAAAAGGATCTTTCATCTGAAATTTAAACTATATGGACATAAAACATCATCAGGAGCTTTAACACAATGTTTTACACTGTCCATTTTCATTAAGTCAAAATGTGGAAACAGAGAAGAACAAGACTGCTTTTTAAAAGAGCCCAAAACAGTTTATTCAAACAAAATGCAACCTCCGGTTCAGTAGCTTACAGGATTACCTTTAGCACAAATAAATGGAATTAAATTCCTGTGTGGCATTAGTTGTCTTTCTTTGTTGAAGATTAATTTTGGCCTCTCTTCTGTCATATTTTATTCACAGTTTGTTGGTGTTCCACAACAGCATTTCAAACAGTTCAATGAGTTCTTAACTGGGCCATTATTCCAACTAGTTCAAATGGAACTTTGGACACTATATTGTCTTTAGAGTAAAACAAGTCAACCTTCCAGATGAGCCATTCTTGTTTTGTTTCTATCTAGTAGTACTGTATAGAGGTCCTTGGGTTTCTTATTTGTCATTTCTCTGAGAATTGCATGGCCTGATGTTGGATTGAGCTTGCTGGGATGTCCACACCTGGAAAGATATTGGACATTTCCTGCTAGGTAATAATCATCCACACTGTAGAACGACTCGAAAACGTTCTGAGAAACCGCTCAGACCCTACTCAGATTGGTGGGCAGCAACAGTTGCATCACCAAGGTCACTGGAAATTACTTTTCTCTTTGAAGTTGTATTAACACACCTGAATGATACAGGCCAGAAAAAACTGTCAAAACCTGTGCCTTTATAGATATTCGCACAATAAATCAAGTGTACTGTTACCTACCCTCTTTGCTCATCTGTAAGCAATGACCGAGTACTTAATTTAAGTTTTGATTACACTCTTACAGTGTCATAGGTTAAGGGTGATGCTCATCACAAGTTGTAACCTGGGAGGAACCAAATTATATGTTTCCCAATGTTAGAAATCTTTGATTTGAAAATAGATGTAGATTCTTTGGTGGGATGGCTCTATTATGAATATCATGATTAGCAGTTTGATACTGTAAGTTATGTATATCCATCCATCCATTATCAATAAGTTATGTATAAACATAGACAATTCTCACAAGTTTATTTGTTCCAAGTTAAATATCAGCAGTTGTAGATAATTCTGTTGTAATCTTCCTAACATGAAAGCTCACTGCATGACAAGGAATTGGTAAAGAAAATGATCCGGACGTGTAATAGATGAAGCTTCAATAATGAAGTTTTCTTCTTGCTGTGAATGTTCTTAATCCTGTCAACATGTATCAACTACATCTGTCTTTTATGTGGTCTACCCCTGATGTTTCCCTGGGACCTTCAATCTGGTTTCAGTCAGTGATACCATAAAACAGCAAGCCGTGAAACGGTCTTTGCATTCCCATACAGGCGCTGAAAATATCTTCTGTCTGCTCTCTGATCCCCTATATATATTTGGTTGTATAAAAAATAAATGGTCTTGCATGTTTGTTCATAGCTGCTCAGTGTGAATCAGATACGTTTGGCTCAATATCTGTCGGACATTTCCAATCGCTTCTGTGTCATGCATTGCTGTTATGAAAATGTGGATGTGAGAAGAATGTGCCATGTCTAGCAATATGCTACATTCATAAAGGATGACTGTGTCACAAAGACAAATTTGATAACTTTCAAAAAGAAAATGCTCTGAAATGTGTCTGTATGAAAGAACAGCACAGATCTGTTTGTTTTTTTGTATCAAGATCCTGCATCTGTTTTCCAGATGTGCAGTAACGAAAGACAGATAAAGACAAAACAAATTAAAAATATTTTATGCTTTAACTCCGTGATTACACAGACACATAATTGAGTGGGGAATGTTGGAAAGATAGGAGGGCTTCTGGGTTTTTATAAGGCCTTTTATTTGTTTTCTCTTGCATAAGTGCAAATGTTGATAAAGTAATACTAAACTACAGTGTATACTGCATAGCATAGTATAGCATAGTATAGTTTTCCATAGTGTGTTCCCACACACTTATTAAAGCGTGTCGTGTGCCTTTAAAATTCTAAGTTATTGACAGTAGGTGGCAATAATGTTGTGAAAGACCTATTATATTCGGTATTTGAATGCCATAGTAAATTGGAATGCTAAAATCCTTTTTTTATGATATGATCTACTCACCATCAGTTTTTGAGCTGACAACAGAAACTTTAAGTCATTCTTCAATACGATTCTATTCAGCAGTAAACACTGCACGAGCCAAACACTAACTGGAGTTGGTGCCAGCATCTCTGTGGGTGGATTAAGTCAAATGAAAACAAAGTAACGGCAGAAGGGGGTAAATGTCAGACACACATTCAAAATACTAATAGTGCTAAGAGTACCAATCCATTTTTAAATATGCATGTATAGTCTTAACTCATTAAGACTATGCAAAATAAATAGTTAATGTTGAGCAACTTGCAAGGGATATTTTACGATGATTGCGATATGTACATTTTGTCAGATCAACCAGCCTTTTGTCTGACCGACTGCCTGCAGTAATGTCACAGAGAATGACTTCCATCTGCAGTTTAACTTCTAGAACCACAATCATTGGTAACAGATGTCAAAAACCACCTAAGAAGACTAAACTAAGATTACTGGAATAGCCACAAATATACAATATACATAGCTACATTGTAATTGATTTATTCTGCTTTATAATTCAACTTGCAGGTTAAACTTTGTGAATTATTCACATTTGTTTTAGGTTTTTTAAAAGAAACGTTGAATGATAACTTTTCTGAGTCAGATGTGATGATATTGTCACTGCTTTAATCGTTGAACTCATCCATTGCACTACTAACACCTTATTAGACATATCTTACCCCTGATTAAAAAAGTTAAGGAAAGAATGTCCTAATAGAAAGGTAAAAAACTGACTTTATTTTCTTAGACAGCAATATTTTTTACTGAATTTTCTATGTATACAGTATTCGTGGTATGAATAGAACAGATCTGAAGCCATTTTTCAAAGGCTGCATATCATTTTCATTTTTTTCAGATGTGCAAAGAAAGCTATCTTGTGTGACAAAATGTTAATTGTATTTAAGGACTATTTGATTAAAACTGGACTAAAATGTTAACTGTCAATGGCTCAAAATGTATAGAAGGCTTAGAGCTGAAGCAGACTCTTTTTGCCAATATAAGTTGTGTCATGACATGATATGATTGTTCGTGGTTTTCAAGTTTGAAATGGCATCTTAAAAGGTTTATCGTCTCTTTGTCCAGGTTGTGAAGATGTGGTGCTGGATTTTCACTGTGGCTGTCCTGCTCTTGTCCATGAAACAGGCAGAAGCTCAGGGTGAGATGCTCATTCTGTTTTCACTTTGCCTCCTCCACAACACTAAACTTTTTTGCTACAGCAAAGGCTGCGGTGCCAGGTCACATTCATGTTTTTCCCTAAATGGGTTCATAATTTAGAAAACATTCATCCTACCACAGACTATTAAAAACAATCTTTATGCAGCCATGTATGTTGCTGTAATTGCTGTCTTTTGTTTATCGGTTTTTTAAAGAATTTAAAATGTAGACACCATTTTCTCATCTTTGCCATTATCAGTAAGTTACCGATGAAAGCGCTAAGTAGCATGTTACACTTTTACGTGAACCCAATGCTTTGTAATCCTGTCTTTAAACAAATCCTCTGTCTGCTTATTGCCCATCAATCTACAGGCAGATGTAATAATGTGCGAGCAGCAGATATTGTTTTCCTGGTCGATGGGTCCTCCAGTATTGGCAGAGCAAACTTCCTGCAGGTGAAGGGTTTCATGGCAGGAGTTGTGAAGCCTTTTGCCAGCTCTGTGGGCGAGTCAGGTATTCGGTTTGGGGCTGTACAGTACAGTGACACTTCAAGGTGACTAGCATGATTACTAAAGAATTAAACTCCCCTGCAGTACAGAAGAGGAATAATGACCTAATCATGAACTATGTTCTCTCTGCAGAGTTGAGTTCACCTTCAACACGTACCTCAATGGCACAGAGCTCGTCAACGCAGTGCAAAATCTAAACTATAAAGGTGGGAACACACGAACCGGTGCCGGTCTCAAGTTTGTTGCAGACAATTTTTTCAACGCCGCTTCCAATCGGGATGTCCCAAAGGTTTCAAGAACATCTATTTTATTTCCCCAATACAAGTTCATTGAAAGGGGAACTTGCTAAGTGTACTTGATGGTCCTCTTTTGATTTCAGGTCACGATCTTGATCACAGATGGGAAATCACAGGACAATGTGCAGGAACCAGCACAGAAGCTGCGCAGTCTGGGAGTGAGCGTTTTTTCAGTTGGTAAGTGTGCACTTGTCTTCTAGTCAGCGCAAAAAATTCCTCATTAAGTAATGTGATGTGGTCCTCCCTTGCCAACTTTCTGTGGGTTTTAGGCATAAAGAGTGCAGACAGGAATGAACTGGCTCAGATCTCCTCACAGCCCAGCAGTGATTTCACCTCCTTTGTTGGGGACTTCAGACTGCTAAACACTCTTCTTCCTCTTGTGGGCCCTCAAGTGTGTTCAGTAGCAGGAGGAGTCTATGCCAGTGATGGTACGTGTGAGCACCAAAAACAAGTTTAGCTGTTTTTCAGTCACCACTACAGTGACATGTCAGACAGTAAACCATGTTTGGTTTCTCTCCACCCTGTCAGAGGCATTTTCTGGTCCATCCAACCTTCAGTTCACGGGCCAGACGACTGATTCTCTCCGGTTTCGCTGGAGTCCCGCCGGGGGCCCTGTTAGTGGATATGTGATCCAGTACGTTCCACTCTCTGGCTTGGGTCAGCCAGTTGTGGCAGAATTACGTCAGGTGAGCAAAGGTTTTTAAAGCTATTACATTGACGCACAGAAATGGGAATCTTAAATGTGTCCCGCTTTGCTGGGGAAACATGCATTCAGGCTGTGTAAAAACATGTCTGGTCATGGGTGTAGACATTGTTAAGACCTGGCAGGCTGAATTTTTGTGTACCTTGGCAAATGTGATGTTGATTGAAAAATGCCAATTGTCAACCATTTTATTTAAACAGACTTTGAACTGAAATGACTTTTTTCAGAGATTCTTTTCATCTCTTTGCCAGGAGACAGTTTCTGCTAGTCAGAGGACGTTCACTGCGCGAGAGCTCAGGTCAGGTACAGACTACCTGGTGACTGTCATCTCCCAGTACCCCAACAGTGTAGGAGAGTCTGTTTCTGCCAAACAGCGAACCAGTGAGTAAAAAAAAAAAAAAACAGGAGAAAAATGCCAAAACACAGATATAAACTCTCGTTTGTCTTTTTTTCTACTTACACAGGGTCATTGCCTGGTATCTCCAGTCTACGCTTGATTCAGGCAGGCTTCTTCTCTTTGTCTGTGGGTTGGGATCAGCCCTCATCTCCGGTTCAGGGCTATAGGCTTACCTATGGACCACGAGGTCAGAGCGCATCTATTTATCTTGGCTTGCGTTTCCACTCACTTATTCATTTGAGTTTATTTAAACATGACATACAACAACATAAACTTAAACTTGAAACACAAACGTTTTTTTGTAAACATCATTTTGTCATATGTGTCAATCTTGACAGAATGAAGGATTTCAGTGAAAAAGTGCAAAAGGATAGATGTTACAACGCTTAACATGTTGGCGGCAAGTTGAAACCATGTCAAGAATGTGGCTTGAGTTTGAGGAACATGGCTTTCTCTAACACTCAACACCCCCCCACCGCCCAAGGCTCTTGAGATTTTTACTGTTGCAATCATTCCATGAAATATATAATGTGTTAAATTTACTCTTTTTGGGTAAATCGGACCGGAAAAAAAAACTTTGACCTATATCAAAGACTTTCAGTAATTGTATCCTTACATTGTAAAGACAGGGTGTGTCAAGAGACCTGGGTGATTGCACCATGATTCAGGGAAGTAAAATAGCCCCTCAGGGATGGTATAATTCTCCCGGTGAACATGTGGCAGGAGAGTCAGTATCAGGTCTCTGCTAGAAAAATTTCATATTAAGCACATCCTCTAGCCAGTAATGAGGTGACTGAAAAATAGCAGTGTTTTTCAAAAGTCTCTTCTCTCGAACATGATTCAGTTATCTGTAATGAGGAAATCATGGTGTTTTTTTGCTTGTTTCTTTTTTCAAAATTCTCCCTGGTGGCAGATTTATCAATAGATCTCTAGACATCTTTGTGTTGTCAATATGTCAACTGCACAGTGTCTAAACACCTCTTAGTCTTAGTTTGACAGAAAATCCATGAAAATGAGTTACCATACTAGTACACATTTTGCTCTCAGGTGACGTCTGATAAGTCCTGTTTTCAAGACCTCCTTGTTGATGTCACTGCACATTTTGAGGTGCTCTCAGAGGATCAATTGCCCTTTTGCACGTTGTGTGTGGATGTTTGCTTTGTCTGTTGAGTAGGACAACCATCCACTGAGCTGCTGGAGCAGTCACTATCTGCGGACACCACAACTACCACCCTGGAGTTACTTCAGCCGGACACAGAATATGTCATCAATCTCTACCCCTTGTTCCCAAGAAATGCTGCATCCCCGTCTATCCTCAATGCTCGCACGTGTGAGTCAGTCATGTTCATTTGTGCCTTTTCCACTTTTTTAAGGTTAATAATGAATTTTTCTATGTGTACATACTATTATTAGCAGGCCTTATTACACAGTGACAATATTAGGTCAACTGAAACAGAGTACTCATGATAACCCCTTTAGGAATAATTCAGAATAATAATAATCAGAATAATTTGCTAATCTCACAGTGCCCTTATGTGTCCGTACTTATGTGTCTGCTTGTTTCAGTGCGTCTGGAGACAGTGCAGCAGTTATCTGTGGAGACTGTATCAGAGGGCAGTGTTCGTGTAAGATGGAGAGGCGTCGGTGGTGCACAGGCATATCGTTTGGTTTGGGGACCATTTCAAGGTCAGAAGAAAGGAAATGCCAAGCAACATTTTTTTTTTCTAACTTGATTGTTTTTCAAATGTCCATTCATTGATTTTCTTTTTAATAAGGTCGTAACGTAGAGACTGTGGAAGTCGCTGGTGGCAGTGAATTCTACACTTTGTCCAGACTGCAGCCTGATACTGAGTACATTGTCACCATCATCCCACTGTATGAACGCAACATCGAGGGCCCCATTGCAACGGCCAGATTCAAGATAGGTAAATGTCCTTTTAGTTTGTAATATCCGAACAAAAAAAATGAATATCGACAATGATGAAATACATTTTTAATACTGTAAACCTTTGTAACTTTTTTAATTGAAAGCTTTAAAATGCCAAAGAGAAAGTCAGATATCAAGTTGATAAACATTATGTTCCAATTGAGAAACCATTGGATGCCATATTAAGTTATAAGTCAGAAAACACATGTGAAGACACTTCTGTTAAAAACTATATAAATTCTATTAAAAACTATTTAAATCATCATAAAGTGTTTAAAGTGTCCTATCAGTTTAAATAAGAGGGAACTGATTATATATTTGTTTTTTAAAGATGTTTTCACCTTACATCTGAAAGGGTTACTTAATTCTACATAGATTTTGCATGTTAGTAATAAAATTTGGAGGATTTCTAAGCCATGTATGTATTAAGTCAAGTGCTTAAGTCATATAGTGAATGTGAATGAAAATTACTATCACTCAGATTAAACAGAAATACTCTCAAACATACTTCAGGTCCTCTGAACCTTTATGTTTATATATTTAAATCATAAACTTTCTAATGAATATTTGGTTTGCCTAAAATGACAAACATATAGCAGAATAATAGCCAAAATAAATTTGCATTTAGATATTCTACCTTCTCTTGAAAGAGGACTTTTGCTTATAAAAGGGGTCAATATCTGAAGACCGATCGGTGCATAAAAGGAGTTGTGAAGCCCTCCTGAGGCGTCACCTCCTCAGGAATGCAATTACAATTTAGAGGGCCACAGGCTGCAGCAGTTGGCATGCTATGTTTGGATTACATATTGCTACACTGGAATTTAATGGATCGAGAAAGCAAAAAAAGTCCAATTAAATTGACTGTAATTGTAGCAGTTTTGTTACAGATGTTGACAGAAAGCAGAAAAGATGGCCAGCAATCTTCCCACTGTTTGTCTTTCTTGTTTAAAGCCTACATATGTTACTGTTTATGTCTGTTTGGAGAACATTTTGAGCACACCTACGCACTTCTTATACACACACACACATACCATTTGGCTCTCGTGAGATATGCCCATATGGTGTCACTTCAGTGTTATTTGACTGAGGCGGAGTCACCTCAGAGCCACTCTGCTGAGCAGAGGGCTGTCTGGGAGGATTGAAAAAAACTTTGTGTGGTAAATTTCAGCTATACAAGAAGAGCTTGATTTAGTCAGCACTGCAGTAGCCTAAACTCTGGCTGGGGATTTTCCTTGTTTGTTTTCTCTGCATGCCAGTAGAGTTTAATTGATCTGATTTATTATGGCAATGAGAAAGGACAACATTGTACTAAACAAGGCGTGATGTTTAAAGATAAGTCTCTGCCTCCATCTTTCTCTGTTCTACACATTTAGAACAACTTGTATTATCTCTATAGAAAAAAATCTAACACATCAACATGCTGTGAAGTGAAATGTTCATGTTGGTAATGTATATGATGCATATAAAGTGGCCATTTGCATGTTCTACTCAGTTACAAGAATAGACATGTTTGCTAAGAGAGAGTGTTTGTCTCATGGATCCGACTGTACTGACTTGGTGCCTCGGAGCAGAGGTGGGGTTTTATTTCCACCCATCCTATTTTTTGGGCCAATAATATCCTGAAGTTTAATTCAATTTTACACACCTTTTATACAGACAGATGTGCTTGTAATGTATAACCTTAACACACAATGGGCCATTATAACTAATTGCAGGTAGTTTCAATTTAAGTTATGAAAATGAAAAAATGGAGGGATTTCTCTCTTGCTTTCTGCTGTAATCTAAGATACTTTATAATGTATGATAACCAATCATGTTTTTTTTTTTAATTGAAAAAAAAATGGATTTGATCTCATAAAATGAATACATGTAGGGAAAACCTCATGATGACACAGCAGGACGATTTAGAGGAATTTATTTGTCATCTAATGTGTTCCTCTTAGAGCTTCAGGAGCAGCAGGTCCTCAGAGCGACGACCACCAGCCCCTCCTCAATACGGCTCAACTGGAGACTCATTCAGTCCTCTCAAGGGTACCGCCTGGAGTGGAGGGAGGGAGAAGGTCAGATGAGCATCTAACATGGACACTTCAATGTCCATTACCTATTATGGTCTTCAAAACCTTTGAACACACATGTAATTTGTCCCTTTTCACTGGATTGGGTTGAAATTAACACCTAACATACACAAATCTGTTTTAAAAATTGTTGGTTGCAACTGTTGTTTAATGTTGTATTCTGTTTCTCTGGTGAAAGCTATGAATCTTTTCCCTGGAATAGTAACCATAAGAATCAGTTTTTGTTTTTTTCTTTTTCAGTAGTTAAGTTGTTTCTTAATGGTTAAACTGTCCAAACCTAAATATATAAAATATATTTCAAAGTCTTATTTTAGAATATTGTTCTTTTCTCTAGGAGGTCGTGTCCAGAGGCTATCCTTTCCTAGAAGCACCACCAGCTATGAGATAACAGGCCTACGAGCAAACACAGAATACCTCATTACTCTGTACACCCTGTTTGATGGCAGAGAGGAAGCCACACCAGTCTCCACCACAGATAGAGGTCAGGATGGATTTATGGTTGATTTTCACTGTTTTTTGGTGCGTGTTTGCAAAATGTTCTAATGTGCGTTTACCATGTGATGATATAGATGAACCGCTAGTAGGGACGGTGTCAAACCTGAGAGTGGTGGAGTCTTTGGGGAGCACAGTCAGACTCGGCTGGACAGGAGTAGCTGGAGCCACGCAGTACCGAATCATTACACAAAACACAGAGGGTATTTTGTTTTTATTTACGTTCAACTGTTGCTCATTCATTAAGAAAATTGTGAGTACTACATCTGAATCCCTCCGATTCAGCTGGAACAGAGGAAATCCGATTAATCCCTGGAAACCAGACAATTCTTGACCTCAGAGACCTGATTGTTGGCGTGTCCTATGGTGTCAGTGTGGCAGCACTGGTGGGGGAAAATGAAGGAAAAACAGTTACAGTGTATATTAAACCAGGTGAGATCAGAATCATCATGCTCCGCTGATGTTCAGCACATGTATAACTTATTATTACAGTTTAGCTAAGGTTATGTGTGAGAGTGCTTAGCATTTGATTAGCCTTTTTCATTTTAAAGTGAAATACTTGGATTAGATTAAAGTTTTATGGAAAATAAATGTTCAATTTACATGTTCATTGCAGAACAAGGTACCGGCAGAGTGACCAATCTCAGAGTGACGAATGCAAACAGCCGAAGAATTCGAATTGCCTGGGAAGGCGTTGGTGGGGCCACAGGGTACAGAGTAACTTGGAGACAAGGCAACAGTCAGTGTTTCGTCTAAAACATTTTTAATTCAGAATGCTCCATAATTACATTTGCAGTGTAAATCTAGCAATAAATGCTTTTCATTTTGGACCTGATGTGAGCCTTAACAAAACTACTTGTGAGTGAACTCATATTCACTCTTTTCTTTTTTGATTGTACTCATTTTCTATGTACCATGTTTGTTTGGATAAAATTCTGTTTTGCCTTTGCAGATGTGGAACAATCCCGTATTCTGGGAGCTGAGGCCAATGCGTTCACCATAGACGGCCTGCAGCCGGATGAGGGAATTGTAATTGGTGTTGCTGTTGTGGTTGATGAGATCGTTGGAGAAGTGGTTACACTGTCTGCAAGGACAAATCCCACTAACGGAGTGTTAACTGGGCTTCGCATCATTGATGTATCAGATCAGAGGATCCGCATTGCATGGTCACTCTCTCCGAGGGCAACTGGATATAAGATCTATTGGCGACGTGAGGATGGTAAGAAATTCATTTTCAAATACGAGTTCTGTTATGAGTATGTCATGAGCTTACTGCCGTGCTTGTTGCAGGAGGTGAATCAGTTCGTACTGTTGCTTCCAATGTTTCTTCTTACACCATTGATGCACTGGAGGCAAATTCAGCCTACAACATTCAAGTCTCTGCGATCTATGGCTCTCGAGATGGAAGTCCTTCCACCCTGAATGTTCGGACAGGTGTGGATCATTTAAAGAATATTGCTGCTGTTGTTGGGAATATATCTCCGGCCAGGAGAATCTGTGGTTGATAGATAATGCTGAACATTGTCTCTAACGGCAGAGTCGGACGCATCTGTTGTTGGGACTGTGACTTCACTGCAAGTCCAGGAGGCCCGAGGAGAAGTTGTCCGAATCACCTGGGTTGGTGTACAGGGAGCAACGGCTTATCGTGTGTCTTGGAGGAGAACCGATGGTATTTTTTTTGTGTTCCGTTAATTATCTTGGTCATTGATGTCCATTTAGAGGTTTACATTCCCGAAACTCTGGAGCTCCTTTACATCTGAAGTGGAAAACAAAAGACCTTATCTCGTAGCCTCACACCACTGCCTGCTCGCTGCATCGCGCTCTTGCTTTCGTGACCACAGCCCTGTTGTCTGACTAAATTTCGTTTGCGGAATAAATTGTTTTTAAAGTGCTTTTCTCTGCGCTCAGCCTTATATCAGGTTGTGCCTGACTGCGCCATTATGCTGCCAACTTTCTGTCACCTCCACTCAAGGCAAATAACGGGGCCGAAAGCAACAATGAATTCACCACAGATCCCTCCTCCTGACTGAACCGAAATGCTCGAAAGAAAATCTCTCAATATTCACCTTTTCGCTGCTGCTTTTGATGTTAAACTCATTTAGTCCCCCTCATGGGAGGACGATAAAACCTTAAAGTTTGAAGAAATGTTGGACTATTATATGACTTTTCATCATTTAAAGTCACCAAGTTAGTCTTGCTTACCCTTTCTCCTGCTATTTTCTGCTGTAGGTGGTGAACAAAGGAGTCAGCTGGTTGGGGGAGATGTAACAGCCGTGGATTTAGATCAACTTGACCCTGGAACTCAGTATGAGGTGCAGGTCATGGCTTTGGTTCAAAACAGAGAGGGAACCCCTGTGTCTGTCAGAGTCACCACACGTGAGTCTTTTGATTCTGTATTCTAGCATAGCTTCTTTTTAGATCGTTTCAAAGACGTTGACAAATGCTGAGTGTTAGAAAAGATAACTTACCAAACAACATGTCTCAAGACGATGTTGACTGATCATAACTCATTTGACTAACATTTTAAACGACTGTGTTCTTGTGCACAGCGGGTTACAATACCCCACCAACTACAGTATCAGCCACAACTTTACGAGTGGCAGAAGTTACCCAGGATTCTGTACGGCTTGGGTGGACTGCTCTCCGAGGTGCCACAGGATATGTTCTACGCTGGAAAGAGGAGACGGGTGAGCAATTTCATTAAATATAATAATTAGATATTATCATAGACCCTCACAGTCCCACTCTGTTAATGTGGGTCTATCGTTGATTGGGATTTACCTGTTGATATCTCTCAGATATTGGTCGAGGTTTGTCTGTTACGCTGACGGCTGCGTCCAGCTCTTACCTGGTGACCGGGCTGCGTTTGGGCCGCCGATACAGATTTACAATACAGCCCACCTTTGCGAGTGGAGTCGGAACAGAAACCTTTGTAGACGAACGCACCGGTAATGCAATGAGACCTGCTCTTTCAAGCATTTTCCCTCAAAAATGTGCACTTAATATGTACTTATCTATTAGAACTGTTTTGTCCTTAGTGTGTGTGGGAGGACGTCTGGATGTGGTGTTTTTGGTGCCTGCATCCACCGATCGGAGTGGCCTTGCCAGACCTCTTCGTGAAATCCTGACCAGTGTAGCAGGATCACTCGCCACCATTGGACCGCGAGACTCACAGGTGCTTTTGATGAATAAGTCTCAAATAGGCGCATGAGCAGTCACAAAGCTTTTGTTGTTCATATATATGTGTAAATATAACTACGTGTGTGTATCTAATGGTTGTCTTTTTAGGTGGGCGTTGTAGTTTATGGCTTTCGTCCCAAAACATGGTTCCTGCTCAGTCGCCACAGCAGATCTGACACAATGCTACAAGAGATCCAATCTATACCTTTTGATGAGAGCCCAGGAAATAACATCGGTCGGTTTTTTTTTCTCCTTCTTTTTCTTTGATGGTACATCCACTTTGGGCCTGCTTGATGTTACTGTATGCACTGGCTGTTGTGACATCACCAGTTTCCCTCCATAGGTGAGGCACTGACATTCACCCGGCAGTACCTCCTCACCACCTCAGTGGGACGGAGGCCTCAGGTGCCCGGCGCTGTTGTCATCATTGCTGACAGAAAATCTACTGACAACTTGACCACTGCAGCAAGCTCTGTTAGAGGTATGGGTGTTCAGGACCTGACTGTAGATCTGCCGCATTCACACACCACACGGGTGTGAGTGACACCTCTGATAACATGGCTGCCATCAACAAAAATCTGTGTATTATTTATTTATTTTTTAAAATCTGTCTTCACTCATTTTCCCATTTTTGAATGACTGTAGGTATGAAGCGTTTGATGAAACCAGTTGTGTGTTCTAAATGTGGGCCAAATCTCAATCTCCACCGTTCTTAAGGAATTTTTCTAAGCACATTATCTGGCTTTTTGTAATTTTATGTAATCTGTAATCTTGTGTACTGTATGTGTTTTGGTTTCTTTCATGCAACTTTGATATATTAATGTGAAAAAAAAAGATCTACTAACCTTTCCACAGGACTATGATGCAAAAACTACACACACAAGCAGCTAGGTCCTCTGACACAAATCTTTTGGTATGCATGCTCACGTAAGGTGTGACAGTGCTGGCTGTGGGAGTTGACCGTGCAGACACAGAGGAACTGCGTCGCGCTGTGACAGATCGCAGCACCCAGAACATCCTGTACACGCGTGAAGCAACGCGGCTGAACACTGATCTGGCTGCTGAGCTGGCTGACCTCCTCTGTGGGATAGCCAGAATACCAGAGGTGAGAGACAACCTGGAAAAAACACAAAAGATTGTTTATCAAATCATGCTAAAACCTGGATTGATGTTGCTATTGTACAATCCACTTATTACATTATTAATGGTTTGGGAGGGGGGGAGAGGGTCCATTTTAATCAAAATTTGATTCACAAAAGAAAACAAACTGAAGCTGAGTATTTCTTTTGTGTTGTTCAGGGTGGTTCAGGTACAGATCAATGTACCATTCAGTGTTCCCCGGTAAGTTATTTTGTTATTTTTGTGTTGAAAATAACTGTTTATAAACTGTTTACAACTGAACATTAGTGTTCACATTTCTTATTGTTTAGCTGTGAGGAATTGGGTGTAAATAACATGACTGCCTTGAAGAAATCCCTTTTTCTTGCTGTGATTTCCGAACTGAATTTTTCATCTTGTTTATTGTTTTTAGGCTGAGAAGGGAGATCGCGGAGAAAAGGTACTGCAAAGTTCCATATCTGCTACAACATTGTTGTTGTAATTTGTGCTAAGAATTTGTTTCCAGATTATTTGTGATGCTAAAAAAACGAACATTTTAATAATCAATTAATCTAATTTGCATCCCCCACATCAATTCTTATGACCACTACTTTTGTACAAAGCTTTTTTTTAGTCACATAATTTTTCTAGCTGAGAAATGGTCTCCTCTGTTTGTTTCCATAGGGTGAGAGAGGCAGGGATGGTGTAGATGGACGCAAAGGAGACCCTGTGAGTCAATAATAAACAGTGGTCTCAGTGAGTCGAAGTAGCACTACTGCTATGTATGATTAAATTGAATCAATATTTATATCATTATTAATTACATGTCTTTTAATGTTAACGTGATGTAGGGCCGGGATGGTTTGCCAGGGAGAGATGGCCCAAGAGGTCCTGAAGGACGTGCAGGACCACCAGGACAACCTATTCCTATAGACCCTTCTCTGGTGGTAAAAGGGGAGAAAGGGGAGAGAGTAAGTACAGCAGGGGTGATGCCAATCTATTAACAACTTGTCAAAACTATACAAAAAGCTTTAAACAGGTTTGTTTTGTACTCAGGGTTTCCCGGGTGTTGATGGAAATCCAGGGCTGCCAGGGCGACCAGGTGCTCCAGGAAATGCGGGTGTCCCAGTAAGCACAGACGGCTGTCGGATACCACAGACCCTGCACATTTTCATGTTTTTGTTGAAGTATGACAAAATAATTTTCCTCTAGGGTTCGCAGGGCCTACCTGGAGTTCGGGGCAACTCAGTGAGTAATCTCCTTCCTGACTCCCGACCCGCCTAGTAGATGTCTTGAATAGAGTTGCATTCTGTATCTTTTTTTCGTTTTATTTTTCATTTTTAGGGTGAACCTGGAGGAACAGGTCCATCAGGGCCCAAGGGGGATAAAGGCGAAAGGGTTGAGTTGGAACATTTAACTTTTTCCTAAAATTTACTGTACAATTGTTTGGATGGAAATATTTTAGTGCTCATTTGAAAGTCACGTGTGTATCATCTCTGTCTGTGCAATGTGCATTTTGAATGATTCAGGGTGAACCGGGATCCTCTATAAGTGGTGGAGGTCTTCCCGGGAGAAAGGGAGAACCAGGAATCCCAGGATTAGCAGTAAGCAACAAACCAGAGTGTCACATTTCCAAGATACAAATGTCACAATGTTAGAACAATAGACGCTGTTCTGTAATGCTTTTGATTGTGAACAGCTGAAAAGCTTTCACACATTCATCATTACATAAATTCTATCTGCATCCAAAGGGTTCAGAGGACAGTGATGCAATTGGGAAAGAATCATCGTTATATTATATTTTGTATCAAGGGTAATCCAGGTCGATCAGGCAGCGATGGGGCGAAAGGAACCTCTGGAGTTCCAGGAACACCTGGTCAAGACGGTCGCCCAGGGATACCAGGAACACCAGGACTTTCCATCAAGGTTTGCCTATTTGGTTTCTGCTAATTCATCAAGGTTTTATAACCTAAAGCAGGCAAACGACTGAGCTTGCATTTATTCAAATAAAACGCTACACCAAAGTTTTACATGCACACGAGAACACTGTAGCCTTTGATATTGACATCAGCATCCTTTAACATGTCTGTACATCATTAGGTAGTGGAAATATTACGCTGCTTGCTGACTAAAATAACAGCAGAGCCTTCTGGGTGTTTCGTGAAATGATGTGCTCAGTCAATGCTTTCATCGTACTAAAGCAGATACTTAAGCAGTGTGGATTTTTAGGATAAAATTGTTGTTGTCAGAATCATGCACATGGTGGTAGCAGTGAGCCACCAATTTTTCTGTGAAGGCTCAGGCTCTGAGCCTCCTGTTTGTGCCACGAAATCCAATCTTTGTTATGCAATGTAATGTCTAATGAATGATGTTTGTTTGAAAAGACAGTCTTTATCAAGGGCGACTGTGCCCAATATACACAATAGCTAAATATGATGAACATAGATTTGTCATTCATGAAGATACCTCTCCCATATGGTCTATTGATAAATATATTTCTGTTTGATTCTTATATAATTTCAGAACATCCATCTCTTTGCTGTGCTGGCAGTCAGTGAAAATGAATTGTTGGAATTTAGTTGTGGATATATTATACTGATGACATATCTAGCATGTACATGATGTGACAGATTCTGTACAAACTCTCACAGTTAACTTTGACATTTTACCTCATTGTCAGCCAATTAGCACTGCAGTATTTCCATGCATTTCAGTATTTTGTTGGAGAATAGAAATGTTTTTAGTGAAACACTGAAAAACAATTTTGAATTGACCTTATCAGAGCAGACGTGCTGCAATTTTTCAATCTGATGATTCAATTAGATCTATTCTATTCACCTGCTTTTGTCCCCACATTCTGTGGTTGGTTAATGGGAGTCTGTTTTTGCAGACAATCTATAGATTATGTTTTTGTTTTAGATAATAATAATATCAGCTTAAACTGCAGCCACACTGCTTTTAGTGTCAATATGTCTCTCTTTCTCTTTCCTACAGGGAGATAAAGGAAGCCCAGGAGAGAGGGTGAGTCACACTCTTACACACTTGTTCTCTCACTCCAAGCAGGACATGAGCATAACACCCTAAGTTCTCTCTGTGCTGACAGGGTCTTCCAGGGGTAGGCAGCGGGGTGGCAGTGAGGGGCGAGAAGGGCTCCCCTGTAAGTACTGTCAATACCTGTGAGCATGCTGACATGGGTGGAAGTTAGTAGGTGAACTTTGGATACAAATAAGGGAAATGTTGCATATATTTATTGTTTTTTTATTTCTAGGGTAATCCTGGACCTCCAGGAACTCAAGGTCCCAGAGGACTTACTGGACCAGAGGGCAGGAAGGGAGAAAAGGTAGCTGGCGATTGATTGGGCATCTGAGTACTCGGCCGATGCAAAGTGTTTTTTTCGAAGACAAGATTTGTCTATTTTTTCAGGGGGATGGGGCTGTTGGGTTGCCAGGCCCTCCAGGAAAGGAAGGAGAGCCAGGAGACAGGGTAGGTGAACCTGAAGGTAGTTTGAACCGGATTATGGATGGTATAATATGATGATAAGTGGGTTTTTTGCAGCAAATCCCAGATTAGCAGTGATATTACTCATGTCAACTAAGGCTGCACAACTCTAAAAAAATATCTCCATCTAGATCAGTGATGGACAGTCAACCTGTCTGTGCTGAAGCCGTTTTTTGCCAGCTTGATTTCATGTCCCTCGTAAAGAGAATATGGAATTGGGATTTTGAAGGAACCTCATAATGTAGATTTAAGATTCTGTGGTTGACATCTATCAGGAGTTGCACAAGGAATAGCAGTTTAACCATAATTTATCCACCAGCTGAAACATAATTACAGTATGGAGTGAAACAATACTGTCGTCATCATTCCTTTTTTTTTGTACAAGCTAAACTGAGACAATCTCTTTTTTTTCATAGCCAGCTAATTAACCGAGGCACACATTATTAAGCAAAATAAAGACTTTGGCTGTGGTGCTGATAAGCTCTGGTTTTCAGCATTTTTCTCATTTTTTCCAGGGTCCCCGTGGGCCTGCAGGGGAAATTGGCACCAAGGTAAGATAGAACTTATAGAAGTAATTTCTGCTGTAAGATTGGAAAAGAATATGGAACATATCCGTCTATCTATTTCTCTGTCCTGACAGGGCGACCGGGGATCGCCAGGCGAGGCCGGATCACAGGGAGACAGGGTGAGTCACTATGTTAAAGTCAGCCAAGTTTGTACCTGTCTGTTGGCATGTGTGTGTGTGTGTGTGTGTGTGTGTTTCGTGGTTCAATGGCTGTGGTCCACATGCTCACAGCAACTGAGCTTATTTGTCACATTTTCCAGAGGGAGGGTAAATAATGAAAAAGGAAATTAAGATGAAGGAGCCATACAGTGATATTAACTGTATGAGTCATCTTCTATAATCTCATAAAAGCTTAAACAATCTTTGTTAAAAAAGGGTGGAGACGCATAAGGCTTTCACTGCGTTTCAGGCCAGCGACAATATACTGCAGAGGCTTATAGTCTGACATGACATGGAAGCTGTTATGTTGACATCTTGTTCTGAGATCATGGTCAAAATGGCGTGCTTTTTGTCTTGTTTCTACATGCAAGTGGAGATGGAGATGGAGTCTATTAATAACATCGCAATATCACATGAAATATCCAGATTGATCACGGTTGTTTAGTAGAGGGGCAAAGATCCAATTTTGTTCATTTGTTTTCTTTTAATATTCTTGTTTTGTTTAAAAATGGAGCCAATTGTTTTCAGTGACTCAAATGTATTCTGCACGAGCGTGTTTAACAGCGATTCTTTCCCACTGCGGTTAAGATGCTGCAGTGTGTGCAGATTGTGGTTTGACATTTTCAAGTTACTCTTACGCATGAACAGTAATGCGCTCCCATGTAATTACACATGCTGACGATAACAGATAACAAAGTGGGGGTTCTTGTCCTTTGAAGAAAGACTTGAAAAATTTTGACTCATCAGGTCACGAGGCAATCTTCGTGTTTGACATACATAAACATATTTGTCTTGTAGCCAATTATCCTTATTTGGTCTGTCTAATGTTGTTTTCTGAAATATTTTTATCCTTAGTTTTCACTATATGATTGGCTGCAAATAGGTGCATGTTGTTGTCATTTGTTTATATTTTAAATTTTACACGTTGCAGTTTCTATGCTAACATCAGTTCCTTTCTTCTAAGTGCCAGCTATCATTTCAAAATAGTCCTTTTTTCTTCATTTAGAGCTCAAACAAACCTGGAATATACTTTACACTGATCATGTAGAGATTTTTTTTTTCTATGAGATGATTTGCTTAAGATGAATTTGTGCATTTGTGTTTGGCAGGGGGAGAGAGGACCGGCCGGTGAGACCGGGGAAAGGGTGAGCACAGCAGTATTTGATAACTGTCTAATATTTCTTTTGTTTGAAAGGGATGTGGAGTATTTTTTAGATAACATTGTCTTCTTAGGGGGACCAGGGAAAGCCAGGAAACCCAGGAACACCAGGGTTGAGAGTGAGTTTATTAATGTTTACTGACATTTGTGTTATCTTTTTTTCATATTTTATGTCAAATTTGTTTGTTTTTTTAAATGTCACCAGGGTTTACCAGGAACGAGTGGCCCACCAGGAGAAAAGGTAAGACTGATTTGGTTAAGTACAATCTCACAAGAAGCAGCAGGTTAAGAAGAACGTGATTCCATCATTGAATGTTTCATAATAAAATAATGATAATAATGAATCCTCAGCCATAGATCAAAGAACATGTGAATATGTCTGTTTCTAGGGAAATGAAGGGGCACGAGGGGAACCAGGCAGAAGTGTGAGCACTCAGATATGAGAAAAAGCTTCATATATCTCTTTTTGCTTTGGGTATTTGCTTAAAGTAAGTATTTAAAGTAAAGCATGTATATGGTGGCTAATCTGCTCTGTTATATTTAAAACACCCAGGCTACAGGCTTACCAGGAAAGAAAGGAGATCGGGTAGGTTTTAATACTTGTGTTTATACAAATTGTTTTAGTGAAGTAAATAGAGAGGTTTACTTTTTTTTTTTTGCTCTGCCTAAAATAGGGGGAACAAGGCCTTTCTGGTCCAGAAGGTCAAAGGGGAGAGAAAGGAGACTCTGGACAAAAAGGAGAAAGAGTGAGCAACCACTGGATGGAAAAGTAGATCCAAATACAGTTTGCATTCAAATTACATTTATCTTTTTGTGTCATTTTGCAAGGGTCTTCCAGGTTCAGGAGGGTCAGGCTCCGGTGGAGCTAAAGGAGAGCAAGGAGAGCGAGTGAGTTAAACAACAAATAGCAAATGACCAATGTTTCAGTTTAATTCAATTAGATTTTTGGTTTCATATTGTATCAGTTCAAATCCCATTAAAAAATACAGCCCATTATCCAGTTCACTGTAATCCAATTCTAATCCATTAAAACCACATTAATTAAAATGTTGATTAATCAAACTGTAAGGAAAACAGTACCTGCTGAGAAAGGGAAATACATGTCAGAGACAAAAATAATGTCATATGCACATAAAGGGTAATGCGTTCAAAGTGTTGCAGGAAGAAGCCTGGTAGTACAACAGTTTTTCACTGTAAATTTCTTTTTTACACTTGCTTTAACAAATTGCTGTCATTGACATTAATTATTTGCGTAAAATTCCTTAATGACATCTGCTTATCTCAAGCCATGTTCACACATGAAGATGCTATGGCCGCTTAGTCCACATGTTGCAGATATTTGTGTTATCGCATGTTGCTTTTCCAGAACATATCTCCAACTTTTCAGGAATACAACTTAAGTCATATCCCTAAACCCCTCCAGTGATGAATGTATACTTTTCCCTTAGGGACCTCCAGGTATTAGTGGCCGACCAGGTGCCAAGGTGAGGGGCCTAATGCGTCTTATGTATTATCTTTTTTTCATTTTTGTTCATTTGATTTTTCAACTAAATATCTCTCTTATTTGTCAGGGAGACCCAGGTGAGCCAGGAGAGACGGGACAAAGTGGGCGCCCAGGAACACCAGGAAAATCTGGTCTCCCTGGAAAAGAGGTCAGAATGTGATTTAAAATTGAACTTACAACTTTCCAGTCATGATTGTGAGAACTCATGTTAAACAGTCTCCTACATTATTTGCATCCAAGATAGTTGGGGAACCTAAACTGTGGAACTACTCCACATTATCAATATAGCATTTCAGAAAAGACTTGGAAAAGTCATTTGATTTTTGAGAGGTTGCTGTTTTATCCTGTCATAAAGCTTCATATACATTTATCTCAGCTCAATGCTTTCTGTTTTCTGATCTCGGTTTTTACATCTCTTTAATGCAAGTAAAGAAAAATGTTGCCCAAGTCAAATTTATTTTAATTTGACTATGTTTAATTTTCATTAACTTAGTCAAGCACTCTTAGTCAGGAAAATCTTTCAAGTAGCTGTCTCCGCTGTAAAAAGACAACAGCGTGTTAAAATCCTTTGTATTTTTTCCAACATGCATCTTTCTTATGATGACAGTTTAGAGGTAAAGGTAAAAACACTTTCAGCACAAATGTGTACCACACCTTTAATTCCTCTGCGTGCATGTTAGCATTTCTGATTTAAACCTGTTTTACAGGGAGAAAAAGGAGACAAGGGTGATGAGGGCACACCTGTGAGTATAATCCTTTTTTTCTATCACACTGTTTCTTTTTAGTGTGCTTTAGTTATATTTAACTATATGATTCTCGTTTTCATTGCTAAAAAGATGTTTTTTTCTCATAACAGTTGAGATGTAAATGTGAATGTCAGTTACTTTTTTCTTCCTCAGGGAGAATCTGGACTTCCAGGGAAGCCAGGAGAAAGAGGGTTGAGGGTAATTTAAACTATTTTAAAATTATTTAATTGCCCCATTAAAGCATTAAAACTGCCAAGTTACATCAAGTCCAGTTAATACACATTCCTACTGACTCCACACTCAGGGACTCGCTGGTCAACCAGGACGACTAGGAGAGAAAGGAGACATTGGGGACCCAGGAGAGCAAGGAAGAAATGTGAGAGACACATTTATGTTTCATTGCACAGATAACTTTTCAATATACTCTCGTGCTATTCCACTGAGGCAAAAAAAAAAAAAAAAAAAGAAACCGTGAGGAAGGCTGGCCGCTCAGCACCTTTATTGATCTGTGTTCGATCACAGGGCAGCCCTGGACCCGCTGGACCGAGAGGAGAGAAAGGAGAGCAGGTAGGCTGTCCGTTTTAATTTTGCAAACCACTCATGTATCTTTAGATGTGCACTCAGTGGATTCTCACGCTTCCTTCTCTTTAACAAAGGGACCTCAAGGGCCTGTAGGACTGCCGGGAAAAGTGGTGAGTTTATCCAATAGTTTTATTTCATAAAAATACAACGATTTCAGTCAATTCAGCTCAACCCTCAATGTGTTCTTCAGTACGTCTGAACTAGTTAATAATCCAGCCATCATACTGCAGGAGAGACAGAGCTTCATGTGGTCTTCCATGTTTTCTTTTGCCAACAGGCTAATATCCAGGGCCAGCTGAAAGGGGAGAGAGGAGAGAAGGTATGTCCTTTTTATTTATTATAGTGTACACATGCATCCTACATTAATTTTCAACTCAATTTTCAAATTCAATGTGATCTCCAGGGCGACTCTGGTGACCCAGGAGAGCACGGCAGCAAGGGCCTGAAGGGTGAAGCTGGGACTCCTGGAACTCCGGGCATACGAGTGAGTTTTCATCAGACTTGCAAACTGTAAATATTTCATGAAGATCATTCCACTGTACTCTGTATGTGCCCCGAACCCTTTCTGTGTGGATTTGTTGTGCATGCCTGATGATCCCTGTGACTGTGTTCTTTTTACTGCTTTCTAGGGTCCAGAGGGACCACGGGGGCCCGCAGGCACAAGAGTGAGTTTTGTCTCTTCTTCAGATCTCATAACTATAGTAAAAATCTGTACTTGTTTTATTTCCATTTAAATATGATACAGTTACTTTAACTATCAATGTTTCCAGGGTGACGCAGGAGAAAGAGGAGCACCTGGAGACAAGGTTTGCCATTGATTCCTGTAACTGCTCTGACTGTGCTTAACTGGCCTGTGTAATTTAATCAAGACAGCAATAAATAATTTTGAAGGATGTTTCTCTTTCTAGTTTGTGGCAGGTTTTGCTGCCATCCACTCAAACAGATTTTGTTTACCTCAATCAGATTTCCTTCAGTATGAACTTCAGAAGGAACTGCTAGAAAGCTTAAGGACAAAATCAAGCAAGATTGAAATTTCATTTGATTCAAGGTAATCCTCTAACGGTCCGGCTGTTTGTTATCAGGGAGAAAGGGGAGCATCAGGCTTAGATGGGCGTCCTGGTCTGGATGGTAAACCAGGTGCTTCAGGACCTCCTGGACAGAGGGTACCTCAACTTTTTCCAAACAATCGAAGCTATTTCTTGTGCCCATGTGGATTGCAGGTCAGCTGTACTTGTTGAATTTGTTACAGGGCGATCCTGGGAAACCTGGAGATGCCGGGCGAGATGTAAGTTTCTCCAGTACTAATACAGTTGTTTAGGGAAAAAATGGTCTGGGATTGGAAAAACAGATCCATTAAAGTTGTGCTTATTTTGGATAGACGCCGTTCTTTGTGAACGTCTTCCCCTGATTTGTCATCTGTGTGCACCAGAGGTATAAATACTGCAGAGGGCACTGTGGAAATATTGAAATGTACTCTTTACTCTTGTGGGTTGTTACATAACCCAGCTGTGGGGTAAGATGTCTCCAGGCCAGTTGGGTCTCACAGGAGCCTGTTGTGTAAGATTGACCATAATAATGATCGTTGAGGCCCTGAACTGCTCGAATCATAACGGTTTAGCAACTGTAACTCTAATCCCCTTTTTATAGCAGACACTGGGTGAGGTACAATAAAATGAAGGATAAATGCCATTTGTGTCACGCACAATCTTGCACAATTGATTTTTTTTATGTGTTGTACGGTCTTATTGTTACACAACCCTCTCGGAAATGTGTTGAAATGATAGGGATTAACAGGACAAAGAGGTGAGCCGGGTCTTCAGGGGCCAGTTGGGCCTCCAGGCAGTCCAGGGACACCTGTAAGTCCACTTCATAACACACAAAAACCTCTAGACTGATATTGTTTCTCCCTCGTCACTTTAAAGTCGTCTCAAATGAGCATTGTTTATCTTGTTGTTTTACAGGGGAAAGCAGGAGAAGATGGAAAACCTGGTCTGGCTGGTAAAACGGTAATGCTTCCTGTTCTGTGTATGGCATTGTCACTCTCAGAGTCATTTAGGGTGGATAGAGCTCACACTTAAATGCTGATGAAATTGATATAGATGCTGATTCAACTCATTAAGAGTGTGAGTGCTATGAGTTATGTTTTTTTCTCTTTCTGCATACATCTGTTATTACCTCTCTCATAACGTCCGTGGTGTTCTGAATGCCAGTGAGATGTATATTTATGACAGGTGCATGAAAGTTGTTTTACACGAGTCAGTGAAATGGTGAAACTAAATGGTCCTGCAGCAGACAGGCCATTATTCAGTTTGTTGTTAATGCATCTTGTTTTGCCCCACAGGGTGAAGATGGTGTTCCAGGTGAAGATGGGAGAAAGGTCTGTGGCTGTTTATCAATGTATTCTTTGTTTCTTGTATATTATATTATATGATTTTATTTTTCATTTTATTCATTTTTGAGGAATGCCACATGCAAGCCATCCAAGCTGATTTGACTAATACAAGCAAATGTTTAAAAGTGCAGGATTATTTCTGAAGTTTGTGCTCATCGTTCTTCCTGGATTTCTCTGGGAACCTGACACTGCTGTTTCTAATCTGCAGGGTGACAAAGGAGAATCTGGAGCAGCTGGAAGAGATGTCAGTTTTACAAAACTCCTTTCACATCTTTACCCATCTAATACATGTTGTTGATAGTTTGTTTCTGCATTCCATAATCTATTCTTTCACCCCTCCTTCACGTTTGATCATGTCCTCATTTCTTGTAGAATATCTTTTCCACTAATCTATTCACCCCTCAAATGTCTATTAATCAGTGGTAGTTTGCTTAGACACTGACATAAGACTCACTCTCTGCCCAATCAATAGGCTTCTTAGAGGCCATATAGATTCACCGGGATCTAATGATCAAGCTTAGCCTTTAAAGGGAAGATACTTCTGAGAGGAATCCAGAGGGGTGCCAAATGTCAGAGTGCTGTTTTCATGTGCAAATTCACATTAATTATCTCCCGAACATCAGTAGAGGGGTGACAGCAGCCACCTGCTTTGAATTTATGCTTCCTCTATAGTGCAGTAGAAAGTAACCCTGTTTAACGTGAATCTCTGTTGTGTAATTGTGATTTCTTTCAGGGCCGTGACGGGCAGAAAGGGGACCGCGGTCCTGCGGGGCCTGTAGGCCCCTCCGGCCCAACGGGAAATCCTGGATTGCCTGGCAGCGTCGGTCCTCCGGGAGCGGTGCGAGTGATGCAGATATTTGTAGATAACAAGAAAGAGTCGACATTTGAACTAATTCATGCATTTCCCCTCAGGTTGTGTATGTAAAAGGAGCTGAAGTTGCACCAATTCCAGGTCCACAGGGGCCCCCAGGAACACCGGTGAGCAGGACACCTGGGCTGAATTACATTCCTAAAAGCCATATCACAACTTGCCCAGTGTTGCTGATTATACAGAAATGAATTTCTCATATATACGGATGATTAATTTTCCATCAAAAGTACAAAAGTACTGCACTGCCACCTGTGGTAGTGTTGAATCTACACCTGTCTCTGTGAGCTGCTGCATCTTTCCCACTGTGTCTTCATACATTATTGCCATTTCTCTGTTCTATAGGGGGTCCCTGGAATTCCAGGAGCCGTGGGAGCTCGAGTAAGTAGCAGACGTTTCAGTTGTCTGCTGTAGAGCTGCAAAATTGTCCTTGTTTTTTGTTTTTTTTTACCTTCTGTGTTGTGTTCCAGGGGGAGAGAGGTCCAAATGGCCCCAAAGGGGATGCTGTAAGTCAGTCTTCCTCCATGACACGGTCAAAGTGTGAAACAAGGTTTCACATGTTTTGTGTTGATCCTTTGATTTCCTGTTAATGGCAGGGGGACCCAGGAGAGGATGGGGCTCCGGGTAAACCTGGGACTACAGTGGTATGACAGCAAATCATATTGTATCATGAAATCCTTAATTATTAGTGTTTTGGAATTATTAAGCATCTGTTTAATTATGTGTTTGCATTTCACTGACTAGGATGTACAAAAGGCTCTTGCAAGCCTGGGTATTCTGGTAAGTGGACTGTTTCTAGTCTCTTCTGGGTCATTTATGGATTTTTCTAACAGATTTATATATGTTATCATGAGAGAGGCAGAGGCAGACAGCAAAAGAGAGCTATTTGTTACTGTGGTAACAACTTCAAGGCAAATTTGCATGGTTGATAATGCAATAATCCTAAGAGTCTTAATATCAGTTTTTAATAATGTATTTATCATAGATTACTATGAATGAATATATTACTGTAATGCCCTTACTAATGAAGAATTTATTTTGACTACCATATGTTGACAAAATGTCAACATACCAAATGTAGTATAATTAATTATATTTTTATGTTAGTAAGGTATTCGTATAAAACTGGAAATATCATGCTTTGGCAGTCCATACTTTCAAATGTAATATTTCCTTCCTTATTTGACATTCTCTTTTTACGTCCCTTAACATTTGGCAATTCCTGTCCAATTTATCTACAAATAATATTCAGGCTTTACATTGATGATAACTGTAAGATTGTGTCTACTTTGTAAGTCACTTTGGATAAACATAAACATTTATGGACTTAGGAGGTGACAGTGACACAGAGGACAGTAGTTATCAGCAATTTTCAAGCTGCTGACATGAATTTGTCATGACTTGCCTTTATCTGAGTTCTGGAGCATTTTACAGCTCTATTCATCTGCTTCTGAAAGGTGTGAATCCCTTCCACTCTCATTTCTGCCCTGCACACAGGCATCTGATCTGAAGGTGGTTGTGGACAGGAAAGACACTCTTCTGGCTAATTCAGTGCAAAAGGCACAGAAGGGTGAAAAGGGAGAAGGTGGTGAACGTGGACCAGGAGGACCACCTGGTGCTGATGTACGTGTGTAGGCTGCCTCTCAGGTCACAGAGAGTCCATTTTATTTCATGTCTGAAAAGATGCATTCATCTAATTATCCTCCTCTTTTTGCGTCTTGTTCTGTCTCAGGGTACTCGTGGTTTAGCTGGTGAGAGGGGCATCAAAGGGGATCAAGGCGACCGAGGGCCCATGGGACAAACTGGCCCTCCAGGAAGAGCCATTGGCGAACGAGGACCCGAGGGACCCCCGGGACCTGCTGGTGAGCCTGGCAAGCCAGGAATACCTGGAGTTCCTGGAAGAGCAGGCGAGCTGGGTGAGGCTGGAAGGCCAGGAGAAAAGGTAAAGAAGATATTTGGTGAAACACATGCTGATTTTCTATGTGTCTCAACATGGCTCTAACAATGTGAATTTTCATTTTAGGGGGAGAGAGGAGAGAAAGGGGACAAAGGAGAATTTGTAGGTGTCTATCTAGCTTTTTATTATTTTTTCCTGATTTCTATCTGATTATTTTATCTGTTTATCAGGGTAAAACTGGATTAACAGGACCAGCTGGTCCACCAGGTCAAAAGGTGAATCTTTTGTAGCTTTAGTCATTGTTTTGGCATAACCCTTGAGATACACTATGAATTAAATTTAGATAAAGAGCTGAGTTCAAAACTTTATATATGCTTTATAGGGAGCATCTGCTGATTCAGTACTGGTTGGTTCCCCTGGGCCCAGAGGCCCTCCTGGACTTGCTGGACAGAAGGGAGAGCCTGGTGTTACAGGACTATCTGGACAAAAAGGAGACAGGGTAAGAGTTGCAGATAATACGAGAACACGTTCACATATCTTACATTATGTTTCTCAATGAATATGAACTGTAATACTGTAAATGACAGGGTTTTGTGGGACCCCGTGGAGAAAAAGGAGATAAAGGGGAGTTTGGAGAGAGAGGGCGAGATGGCTCACCGGTGAGAACAATCATAAATATGTTTAATTCCTCTGTGACGTAGATGTACATAAAAAATTCCAGATGAATCCTGTGTTTTAAGTTCAACAGTGCAAAGCAGTTTTTTTTCTAAAGCTCAGCTACTCTCGATGTTCCAGGAGATACCTTTTGAAGTGTGAGGGTTGTGGGTCAGTGGAACTGACCATTGTGATTTTTTTTTAAAGTATATTTATATTTCCAGTATATGTTATATTATTGACATCAGCGTGTAAAGGCCCATCAGATCTTACACTCTAGACTAAAAGTATACATAGAGGATTGCCAAAATTATTATATTCAAATAAATATACTATTATATCATATTATATCACAGCAAACGGGCTATTAGTATATCACCCACTAACACTTAATAAAATGATCCAGACATCAATTATTTGCATTCTTCAGTTTTAGATAATGTGGAGCCAAAAGAGATCATACGTTTATCCATATCATTGGATATGTGGGTGAATCTGATGAGTAAAACATGCCAAAAAACCAACTGAACAGAAATACTCTACTATGATGCAAGATTATTTCTTGTTTGTGATTTGAGAACCTCAAATATCCAGTTGGAAGCTAATGAGACATTTTCAACGCAGCACGCAAATAAATTGTGTATACAAACATAGGTGAATGCCTACCCCTTTCCTAATTTTGCAGATACATATGCTACTTAAATCAATAAAAATAAGCCTCAAATTGGCAATTCTCTTCATGTTCACTGTATTGCCCATCTTTCGTATAAAAGCTACAGAAAATGTCTGCACCCAGTCCTTAAATTCTTCTGAATATCATCTGTGTTTGTGTGAAAACAATGTTGCTGAATATGACTGATAACATGTCTGTCCTGCAGCACCTTAAAGGCTTGTTCAGTCTGCTAAGATCTATATTTTAGATCTTATAAAAAATGTAGCTGATGGAGAAAAGACCTACATTTTTAAAAACGAATTCTTCATTGCTTTAGTCTGGAGTCTGGTATCACAACTTGTGATTTGTAATTCTAGGGATCTCCAGGAGAACCTGGCAAACCTGGTCAAGATGGTAAACCTGTAAGTAGTAGCTTAAACTTAACGTTTGCTAAGACATTTAGGTAAAATTCATTTTTGTATGCTTGAATCTTTTCTTTAAGAGGTTGATAAAGTATTGATTTGTTTATACTGTGAACATATCTTTCAGCAGCTATGGTAAGTGTTTTTTTCAGTTTTTAATAGAATACTGCACAGTAAATAATAATAAGTACATGTATACGTGTATGTAAACGCAATGTAATCTGAGAATCATCACAAATGCTATGTGAAACATAAAACCAGCAATATTACAGATTTTGTCAAAGAAAACATTTTACATTTTCTTTCCCCTTTAAGGTGTCTTCAGGTAAATAAAAAGGACATTTTTAACACACTGCTAGAAAGTTGTGTTTAGGGGTAGGTCAGTGCACAGAGGAAATGAAGCGCTACATATTAATTACTTCCTCACACTTTTCATTTTCCTTCCCGACATGTTGGAGCAGGGCTCAGCAGGGCCTGCTGGGCCTCGAGGCCAGCCAGTGAGTAACCAGTAACCCAGTCTGCTTTGACCCCTTTAGCCTTGCAGAGTTCAACAACTGGGCTGGCTGTGAGCGAGGGCAGATGTGCCCCTTCCAGCGAGGCTTCATAGATCCTTTGGCAGCTCTGCAACTAACTCTGCAATCTCTCCCTGTCTTTCTCTCCTCATGTTTGTCTTTATCTCTGTGAATTTCCTTTTCTATGTATTTCTCCTATTTCAATTCTGTTCCTCCCCCAACTGTCCCCCCCACCCTCCTGTCGTCCACTTTCCGTTGTCTGTTATCCTCTCTAGGGCTTGCCTGGGTTCCCAGGAGTTCTTGGCAGACCGGTAGGTTCTCTGCTACTGGCTGGCGTGCTTATGCTATGCAGGAGGGAGGTTTGAAAAAGAATATGTCACAGTGGAAGCAGATACAAGCAGGAGTGGTCCGAAGTCAGTGAGAGGCCCAGGGCGCTGGGTTTAGACAGCAAATAGCTTGAAAGGTGCAACAAAAGTAGTATTACCTATCATCAGGATGCACACGCTGTAATGTAGCTCCCAGGCAAATGTCACTGCTGTAGTCTTAATTCATTTGCATTGCAAGCATCCTTCTGGGAGCTGAGGTCTGGGATAAGAGTCAGACCTTGATCAGTTTGTCATGAAATGTCCCCAAACTACCTCTGTCAACTCAAAAGTTGCATTCTGAAGTTAGAATTTAAATAAGTTCTAAAACATCACTAATTTAATGGAGGGGCTTAAAAGAAGTCAGATGACATCCTGAGGTGGAGAACTCTTCAGGATCCAGTCCATAGTAGTGTGTGTCAACGTGTATGGGTGTCTAGATGGGGTTTGGGAGGGGGGGTACTCTAAAAAGTACTTACTGTTAAGTCTGCTTATCGTGCATGCAGCTGTGCTTGGTGTCTGTCTGCTTATCCCTTGCACAGCACTGATTTCTAAAGCTTAACGTTCCAGTTTTGACACCATTGACCATCTGTTCGCCTTGTCTTCATATTTGTGTTAGTATATTTACGTGTCCAAATCAAGAGCTGACATCAAGTCATCTGTCTCTTTGTGCAAGTTTTTAATGTTAGAACAGTGTTGTCCATGTGTTTAAACACAAACGTGAATGTGTGTGTGCAGATTCATATTTAAGGAAATGCTTGTATTCCTTTAAATATGTTACAGATAAATCCTTTTTTTTATGTCTTTCAGAGAGATTAAAAAATGTTTAATGACACCTGTAGACTGAACATTAATCGTCAAAAGGAGGAAGCTGTGTACATGTTTACTGACATTAGGAAGAAGAAAATTAGTGTGTTTGTCCAACCGAAATGTGACTTTTATAATATCTTTCAGTGAGTCTGTCAGACCAAAATCCTACGAAATGGAATTTCTAAAAAAATTAATCAAACAAACACACCAAGATAATCTGGTTGGAGATTAAATCGCTTTCAATTTGTCCTCTCATCATGTACTCCGTACATGTTCTAATTCATATATTTTTCAGACTTTAAAAATACCTGTGATTGTTTAAAGCTTTTCCACCTTGCAACTAAGAAAATTATCCCTTCATATTTACCTTCATCTGGCAAAATTGCCATTTTAATAAATGAAAGACACATTTTAAAGAAGAGTTAGAGGCAGCAGAATGTCCACAGCATCTCTTCCTGTCTAAGATACCACAAAAACTGACTTTGAATGACTGAAAGCAGTTAGCATGACTCATTGAATATTTGATAATCTCTCATTTGTTTTATCCTAAATGTGGTGATAACAAAAAGAAACAGAAAAATTATCCTAGTTCTTAATAACAGATGGGTATTTTTCCTACCTAACCTAATAACTGCTCATTTGAATGCTACTTGCTTGTACTTAAAGCTTTTTTTTTAACATGATTGCATATATTTTTGCCCACAGGGAAATCCAGGAGAGCCTGGTATGAGGGGGCCAACTGTAAGTATGGCATGTGTATGACAAGTATGCACGCTGACAGTCTCTTATTAACAATTGATAGCAGGTGTTTAAATGTGGATGACATATTTCTTATCAGGGCCCCATGGGTCCCACTGGCTTACCAGGTCAACCAGGTGTGAAGGTGAGCTCTTTTTACTTTCCAAATTTGGCCGTGCTGTACTGCATGCATACAGTCTTTTTTGTGTGTTTGTTTTTTTTTTTTTAAACTTGACTTTTTTTTACAGGGCAATCAAGGAGAAGCAGGCATTGGAGTCCAGGTTAGATATTTGAAATTTTCCATTCTCCTCATATCCAGTCATGTAAATGTCAAGACGGTGGAGCTACATGACAGATTGTAGTGTTTGAGTTTATTTCTCCTCTCTGCAGGGTCCTCCTGGTGCTCAGGGGAGCACAGGTCTGCCTGGACCACCAGGTCCTCCAGGAGCTGTGGTATGTGCTGCCATCCGTCACAGCTTCCCCTCAGAGCGAGATGCTTTCATGTTTTCTCATGAAATTTCATTCAAAGTGTCATGCGTGTCATCTGTGTATCAAAATGTGTTCCACGAGCACTGTATTTGCTTCTCCATGCAGGGTCCACAGGGCCCCCCGGGACTGTCAGGACAGGTGGTGAGTATTTAATCCTATCCTGACAGCTGCTGTTGCTGCTCTGTGGAGCAGTGAGAAAATGAGAAACCGACACAATACTTTGTGCCCGAGTCACTTCAGTTGTAACTGAAAATATGAAGGTAATTAAACAAAAATGCCAAAACATCTGCAACAAGCTTTGATTGATAAATGGCAGCTTCAGGGATGTTTTGTTGTTTTTCAGGCAACATGAGCTTTAAATCTGATTTGCTGTGTTGGTGCAGTGGTTGGAAACAAACAGAAAATATGGACTGACAATGAAGGAACCCTTAGAAATAAACATATTCTCAGTTATTGCTTTCTTGTTCCTTGTTCATAATATGAAAAAGCTTGATTGTTTGGTCTTTTCCCGATGAGTAAGTCAAAGAATCTCAGACAAATAATTTATAATGCTTATTTAGAGTGACTCATGTATTTAAAAAAAAATAGAACATACCCTACTATACCATGAAAAATAAAACATTGAATTAATTGATGACAAGACAAGGGTAAAATATATATAATATATTTAGTAAGACATGCATAATCTATACCAGGGTCTTTGCTCCTCCTCAGGGTGAATCAGGTAAACCTGGTGTTCCTGGAAGAGATGGTGTCCCTGGTAAAGAAGGAATTCCTGGATTGCCGGGGAAGCAGGTACTATATGTGTGTTTGTTGTTGGTGTCGTTATAGAAGTCTTACCTGTGCTGTGTGCTATTCTGCGAATATATGTCCTGTTCAGTATGAATGTTGTGTAATTTGTTCCATAGGGAATTGCTGGATCTCCAGGTCAACCTGGCTTAAAGGGAGAACAGGGAGACAGTGGCCCTCCAGGGAAGGTAAGAGCTGGCTCAATCCACTAGTCAGCCTCAGGCTCTATTGGATGGTTGATGCGGTTGCTTTTAGATAACACATAATTCAACACGTCCACATCTGCTGCAATCACATGTAATGCAGACAGGAAATCATCCATGGAATAATTTGCTGTGCACAGGTCAAAATAAATCTGTAGTGCTATTACAAGCTTTCTACTGCAAGACTAATGTGGTCTTCCTTCAGCAGCTGTAATGAGGCTGCCATTTATTTTACCCCAAATGGTGCCACAGATAAATTCACCTGCAGTTGCCCCTCTCCTACTCTTTGTTCCTCTGTTTGTTGTATACATTTTAAAGGAAGGTACCACAACAAAGTCTGATGTTTCAGCTCTGTTTTTGCACTTACCTACATCACTGTCTTAGTCACAAAGGTATGGGAAGTAAAAAGACAACAGGACTGAAAGAGCTGCTCTTGAAGATGCCAGAGTGTTTTTTTAAGAGGAAACATTTAAACTTAAAATGTAGTCTCTAGAATTGTAGGCTTTAGTTCCATGCCCTACTACAGTATAACATACTTTAACCATGCTTGGGTTTATTAAACACATAAAATACACACAGGAGTGCAGCCTTTTTTTACACTGCACAATTGATCAGCAATGTAAAGTAGCGTCATCTACATCTGACACCCTGAACATGTAATGTTTTGTTTTTTGTTTTTTTTCATATTGATCCACATGCAATTTCTTAATAACTCTTGTTAGGATGTTCAGCTTGACAGCACAGTTGTTTGTCTCCATAGGGGGAATGTGTTTGTAGAAAAACATAGAAAATGGTGCCTTGCTAGTAAACATCTCACTATTCTCAACCAGTTCTGTGGCTCATAATGCTGACATAAGTCATGGTGACATGTATCTTGGACAGCTGTCCTGCTGACAACCTCAGGTTCAGCACCGTGGACAGAGGCACAATGCTACTGTCAGTGAGTTCAACAGTTTGATTAATGAGCAGCCAACACTCGGCCTTCTGCTCACAATCTCCTGCAGATTTTGATGTCTTACACTAACAGACACAATTACCGTACACACAACACGGCCTGACTTTTGTCTCTTGGAGACTTACCTGACTGACTAACTAGCATTTCGTGCATTATTATGCTCTAAAACAGAGCCTCTGTACTAAAATAGCACCCATCTAAAGATAGATTGAGCTCAAACATTTCTACCAAGAATATGTGAGAGGAACACCAAAAGGAAAAATGTGGCTTTCAGGATCATTCCAAGAAGAATAACGCTGTCACAGCTGCTTAAAACCAATGGAACTGTTATATCAATAGACTATTATTCATAATAGATTGACAAATAATCTGAAAAAAGTTATTTGTCTTTGTAGAGAGATATTTGTTTATAAGTATGGATATTAATAATTTGTCCAAAAGGAAACTGAATGGAAAAAACCTTGTATGCCATGACGTGAATGGTGCCAAAAGAGGTGAAAGTATGTCCTCCAAGCAAAGATTAATGCCCTGAAAGCAGGCTTGTTGAAAACTTTCTAAAATGCACACTCCTTTGTGGGTGGGCTTTTACTTTACTATGTCTAAGAATATCAGCATGTTTTTTTTAAATAGCAGGTATGAACAGGGATAAAAGGGTGGAATATATTTCATATTGTTTGCAAAGCCTGTGCTTAGTGAGAAAAGCATTGCTTCTCTAATACTGTTACACTGTGTAGTAGAGTCGACGGGGAAAAGAGTGCTTTTATTGATATTTCCTGCTAAAGACAGAACGATTTTGCTACATTTACCAGCTTGAGATGATAGTGATTTTAAGAATACTTTCACTTTTTAGTGGTAACAATCCATATCACTGGTGGTTATATTTTTGTCTCTACATTTCCTCAGGCAGTGGCAGGACCTCCTGGAACCAAAGGAGAGAGGGTGAGTCACTGCTGATTCTGACCTAAAGTCCTCTAAACTTGTCTCACAAATAGTTTCTTGAGTGATAAAACATAAGATTGCTTACTGGAGCTGACAGCACTTTTCTGGTTCTGCCTGATGCAGGGTCCAGCTGGTCAAACACTTCCCGGCACAGCTGGAGAGCAAGGTCTACCTGGTGAAAAGGTGAAAACCGAAGGCACATATCAGTCAATAATATAAGACATACAGAAACCTTTGAGTGCTTTTCCTTTAATATTGTATGATTGAATATATGACTTCTGTCATTCAGGGAAACAAAGGAGACAAAGGTCCTGCAGGCATTAAGGGAGAAAGAGTGAGTACCACCATGGTGCAGAGCAACACACGGGTTTAATGTTCATGTAGCTACATGATTGCATTGTGCTGTCGTCATGCCAGGGAGTGGCCGGTGAACCAGGAGAAGCCGGGGAAGATGTAAGTAATCAGCTGTCACTGCCTGTCATTTGAATAGATTTACACTTTGTAATTGACTTGTGTATTTTACTATTGAGAGAGATTTTGTTGTGTACTAGATACAGACCGGTAAAATGTTTTCAACCTGATTTATGTATTCAAAATGATAAGATGATCAGATTCACATAAATTTAAATGTTGATTGCTGTCAAAATCAGAAGGAGGCTTGACAGGTTGCATTTCTTTTTGAAGTTTGTGTGTAATGTGAGTGTGCTGGTTCACTTATCCCATCCTGTGTGCCTAAGTCCCACTTGAACTTCTGTTTTATTGGCATGACATTTCTGTTAGACACCTTTTAAACAAAAACCTTGGGTTATGAAACGGGTAAATGCATTCATCCTAACCTTTTTTAATGTGTTGATGATTAACATGAGAATACCTTTTATCAAGTTGATTTACATAAAAAATACAGTGAACCAGCAGACTGGTTAAAAGCTGTTTTCCAAATGCATCATCCTATGTTTAAGCTACTGTTTTTTTATTTTTCAACGTATTCTTTTTTCTTTTTTGCCAAAGCTGTTATAAATATACGAGCAACAAATATCTTTTAACATCACTTTTATTTTGTTCTGCACACAGGGGCCACAGGGTCCTTCTGGGCCGAAAGGAGATAAGGTGAGCCTTTGTCATGTTCTCGATCCAATTGTTTGATTTCAGACTCATTTTACTGTGACAGTAATGACAAAAACTGTGCTGCAGGGAGAGAAAGGCATTGGACTGGCAGGTCCGCCGGGTCGTTTTGGGCCCCCAGGTTTAAAGGTGAGTAACAGCATGTGTTGTCACAGATAAATATCTAAAATGTTATCTGTCCAGTCATAGTGTGACTTCCAGGACATGCCTCAGGGTAAAAATGATTGCATTTAAGGGGGATCCAGGGCTCCCTGGTTCTGCTGGTCCCCCAGGACTACAGGGGAAATCAGGGAATCCTGGGCAGGCTGGTGGGAGCGGAGAAAATGGACAGCCAGGACCCCCTGGACCTCCTGGGGAAAGGGTTGGTATTAATAAAGCAATCCATGCTTCATTTATGACATCACTCAGGAAAAATTTTCAAATATGCTGGTCCTATTATTCAGGGTCTCCAAGGATTTGTAGGGCGTGCAGGAAATGCTGGTGCTCCTGGTCCTCCTGGACTTCCTGGAGAGGCAGTGAGTTGTTGTTTTTACATTATTATAAACATCTATGTCTTCCTTAAAGCTCCTACAAAAGCCCTCAGTGTTAGTTATGCTGTAGCATTTATCTACTCCTTTGTTGGACAGCTCCTTACAAACTGTGCTTAGGACAGAATCTTTAGTGGCTAAAATTCGGTAAATCTGGATATCAAACCTTTTCCTTTCTGAATAAAAAAAGCAGCAACAGAGTTTTTCGTCTGATTAATGTTTTGTTTTCTAGGGCTCTCCTGGTACTAATGGGATCAAAGGTGACAAGGTGAGTACCCAGACTGGTACGCAAACTGTGTCTGAATATTAAAGTATATTTTTCCAAAGGCTTTGATATTATTTCTGTTTTTAGGGTGAAGTTGGTATCGGCATTCCTGGTGCAAGAGGAGAGAGAGGAGATCCCGGACCCAGAGTAGGATATCTGTTAGACTATGATAACACCGAACTTATCTTCTGGAGTGCATTTACCCTCTGAGATGAACTCATATTGGTGTATTTGCACATCTCCCTTTCCCTGTTGTGTATTTCAGGGTGAGGAGGGTAGAGCTGGCACGGATGGAGAGAGAGGACAAACAGTAAATATTGAAATCCACATTTTTTATGCATCACTCTGTCTAAATGCATAAAGGAAGCACACAAACTTAAAATCTTTGCAAGATTTATCAAGATTCATCTTTTTTGCAAGCTCAGTTTTAACATTGCCTGAATTAGTTTCACAACTTGGAGTCCTGACTTTGTTAAACATTCGCACTTTAGTAATTTACACTTCAGAGCCCTACAAATGTGTGTGTGTGTTTGTCTTTTTGTGTATCTGTCAGGGTCCTCCGGGGATTCGAGGTGTTCGGGGAGAGAAGGTGAATTCTTGCTGTGCTTTTCCCATTTTCAGATATCATCATATAGCCTTTCCCCTGAGTGTTCTGCTCATGTAAAGTAGTGAATTAAATTGACATGCTTGAATAGAATGTTTTACTCGCAATCTCTTTCTTGTCACAGGGAGACGGCGGGCTACCAGGTGACAAGGGAGAGAAGGTGTGCGCATTTTAATATCTGATAAGCTCCAACAGCTGTTCACTCTTTTGCTTGTGTTTGTATTTTTAAAAAGAAATAAATGGAAAACTGGAGAAGGAAAATGAATTTTGTCAACGGTGGCTGTTTAGCTATTCCGCTCAAAGCTGGAAAAATATATGAATACACAATAATGATGAGCTATGATATCAAAAGTCACACAGTGTCAGGAAAAAATAGCACGATAAATAATGAATCTGTCGGTGTGTCTCTGAAAGGGGGACACTGTGCTGGTGGGAGGACCTCCTGGCGAAAAAGGCAACAAAGGAGAAACAGTCAGTTCACACTGAACTCAGGCACAGGGCTTCCATGATGCATTTCAGTGTTTGAGCTTCCATTTCTTACGAATATGATTGATGTTTTATTCAGGGTGACAGAGGACCAAAAGGTACACAAGGAGAAAAGGGAATAAAAGGTCAAGAGGGGCCAACTGGACAGCAGGTAAATTTAGGTGGAGATTTATTGATTGAGTAGTCTATGAAGAAAATAGCTGATAGATGAGTGGCACTTCCTTTCTTTCAGTGACAATGTGTACAATATGAACCCATTTGGTTTGTCTGAGTCTTGTTCAGGTCTGAGTATTGATGGGTTTATGGTTATTGATATGGTTATGTGATTTAACTTCCAAATTCAAAATAAAAATGTTCTTATATGATGCTACATGCTACCAACAACGTAACTCAAAATGTCATTTTCAGGGATTAGATTTTCAGTATCCTCATTTTTTCGTGCTTGTGTGTACTTGACAGGGTCAGCAGGGAGAACCTGGAGAACGGGGATCCACTGGATTCACTGGAGCCCGTGGCCCTGGTGGACAAAAGGCAAATTACATTGTTCTTTAATGATTTTTGTGGTTGAATGAGCTTCGCTTAAAACCAGTGCAGCCAGCACAGGCAGTGTTTTTAACCTTTGTATTGCATTCTCTTTGCAGGGAGAAGCAGGCCAACCTGGAGTGCCTGGTGAATCGGTTTGTATTTTTGCAGTTTTTTGTTTGGGTTTCTCTCTTGAGTGGATACGAGGAGGGGTAATATTTCATTTTTTTCTTCCAGGGTTTACCTGGAAAAGATGGACTGTCTGGGTATAAAGGGGACAAGGGAGAAATTGGTATCTTAGGAATGAGAGGAATAAAGGTAATTTATTTGTGCGTCTCTGTGCATGGTAACATGAGTAGGCGATGACAATCAGAACTAGCTAATTGCATAAAATTGACATGACTGCAAAGGATTAATACAAATTGTGTCATACATTTATGCAGAATGTTGGCTTTGATAAACCATTATGATGACTAACCGTCTAAAAATGGCATTTGCTCTCATTAACCACTCATATCCTTTCAAATCATTGATGATATTCAGTCTGATTTACGAAACAGATTAAAGTGGAATGTGTTGTAAAATAAACTTTTTTTTCATTTGTATTATACTTAATTTAACCATCTTATCTCAGAGATGCCTAAGATGTGACATGCCTACATTTTAGACCATAAATTTGGCATTTGATAGCAGAGAATTAGTGTATGGTTATTGAGGCATTTTGAACAGCTTGTCAATATAACAAGAACGAAAGACATGTCACTCACTCTGCCAACTAATGTTATTCAGTGGTGAGGAGGAGCTTTGGGCACAGTCATTTCAGAGGGGCAAATTAGGAGGCACATGTATAATCATAAAGCCAATAATATAAGATAAGATGTTTAATTCTACACTTTTTGTCAGTGAGGACCATATATTTAGGGTAAAGACTTCTGCAAATTGCATTCAGTTATTAAGAAGGGCAATGAGGCCTGTTTCTGTCCTCTTCTATGAAAAAGTGCAGTGGCTTTTTTCTCCTGACACCGAAAGATACCAGCATTATAAGTGTGAAATCCTGTAAAGGTTTGTTGCAAGTCTGTATAAAACATCCAAAAACCTGTTTAGCATTTTCTTAGACATGAAGCAAAGATGTGACATCAACCATTTTGTTTTTGTGAATTTACTGTGGTCAGACTAGACATTATCACCACTCTTGGACTCATCTGCAGGTTTATATCCCATTTTACCCTTTCTTGTCGTTGCTGTCTGAACATGCATTACCGGGAAAACAATCACATCCAGCAATGTATTTTACCCATTGGTGAAGAAAACTTCCTGCGAGGTGTTTTATGGTGTGTTTAAGTGCTTTCTGAAGTGCCTGAGTGCCAAGTAAAAGAAGAGTGTGTATGGATATACTCCTTTTTGGTACCCTAATGACTCACATGTGTTTTCATGTCTGTATGTCGATCATGGTCTTTTGTGTTTCCAGGGTGACCGTGGACCCAAAGGAGTTTGTGGAAGTGATGGACCTAAAGGAGACAAGGTGAGTCAGTGAGAGAGAGAAATGGCAAATAGATGGGTGAAGATAAGTGTTGCAGACATGAATCAATGGCATTCAAAATGTATAGGGTTTTTTTTTATTAAAAAAAAATGGCAGTGATGAACGGTTCGTGGTATGTGAAGCTGCTGGTGAATAAAACTAGTCACTCTTAGATGTATTTACATATCCAAAAGAAATAATTGAGCATGTTTGTGTTCAGGGAGATGCTGGCATTCATGGACGATCAGGCCTGCCAGGGAGAAAAGGTGAACAGGTATGGATGATATTTGACCCCAAAAAATCATCATAATTTGGGAGACATAGATTGGTTATAGTCAGACACTATGTTTTAAAAGGGCGATGTTGGACCTCTTGGGGCTCCTGGGAGCCCGGGAAAAGAAGGGCTAGTTGGGCCCAAGGTATGTACAATACATCTGTTTTGTTCTTGTTTTTTTATAAGAGACTATTTGAAATGCCCAACGTGACAAATTGCCTTTGTGAGTTTAGGGTGAACGTGGGTTTGATGGGGTGGTTGGACCCAAAGGGAGTCAAGGAGAGAAAGGTGAACGGGTGAGTGTCTAACTTCAGCCTCAGCTGTGGCAGCACAATGCCGTGCACAGAGACACACTCATACATTCTTTCTGCAGTATCATTCATCCTAAGAACAACACAAAATGTGAAATCAATAGTTAAAGGTGTCTGTGCTCAAAACAGGGACCACCCGGTGTGCCTGGTCCCCCCGGTCCCAGGGGTGTGGACGGGCCCCCTGGCTTGACTGGCCCACAAGGACCAGCTGGTACTAAAGGCCCTGAGGGACTTCAGGGTCAGAAGGTGACTTTATTTACTTTGATCTTATGATTAAAGGCTCTTCTTGGTCAATTCATTTATCCATAGGTGTGAGGTCTTGTAAAAAGTCAGTGAGAGAGGATTGTAACTCTTGAGTTGTCGTGTTACAATTAAAGCATTTGCTTTTATTGTACACAATTTGATGGTGAGCTAGCAATGTGAATTAAGAATGAATACTATCATCTGCGTCCCCGTTTTAAAAAAAAACAAAAGCATTCATGGCGCTGAGTGGGGCGATGGCAAATGGACACAACTTTTGGCAGTTTTGAAATGAGCCATATGATGCAAGACCAATATAAATATATTACAATCTTTTTCTTTCACCTCTGTTGTCCTCTTTCTTCTTCAACTGTCTCTTTTTTATTGCTGGGTATTGCTTCATGATGATTGACAGTAAATAGATAAGGTTAGAGACAAGATGTAGGGCAATAGCAGGTCTTTTTTTGTAGAATGGCACATTATTGATTTTTTTTTCTCTTCTACTGATAAACATCTTTTACAAGGGTTCTGCTGATAGGAATAAAAATATGTAATGAAAAATCTGCCAAAATGAACTGTGAGTGTCTAGTCACATAATTTTGCTACAAGAATAATATTCAATATAGTACAAAAAGTATGTCTAATACTTTCATGATTTGTTTTTATAATTGATTTTTTTTAATAGATTTTTGGGCTGCATGGTTGTGTGGTGGGTTGCACTGTCGCCCCACTGAGGGTCAAAGAGGGTTCAAATCCCAGGAGGCCTTTTTGTGTGAAGTGTGCGTGTTCTCCCCATCTCTGCGTGGGTTCCTTCCCTGTACTCAAGCGTCCTCCTGTCATCCAAAAACACGCGTGTTAGTTTGATTAAAATATGAAAGCAATTTGCAACACACCTTCTAAAAAAAGATCAGTACAAGAAGATTTCAGCCAAAACTATGACGTCATTTGTAAACTAACAACAACAATTTAAAGCCGGTTCGGTAGGTAAGAATAATGTGCTCCTTTTTCTGGTTCATGTTAGGACACTGGCAGCAGCGTTTTGGATGATACGCCCGTGATGACCTGAGGCTAATGTTTTAAATGGCAGCGAGTTTACTGATTATCTGTGCAGATAACATATACTGTTTAGGGTAACTTCCGACAGTGCTTATCAGTGTGTGTGCTGTATTTAATTGTTTTGTGTGTGTGTGTGTGTGTGTGTGTGTGTGTGTGTGTTTGTGTGTTTTGTCTTTGTGTCAGGGAGAAAGAGGTCCCATTGGTCCTGCCATGGTCGGTCCACGTGGTACCCCAGGGATCCCAGGGGAGCGAGGGGAGGCGGTCAGTGTCACACCTGTCTCTTTTTGGCTATTTTTTTCCTGTACCTGCTGAGGTTCTAGGAAGCTCTAGTGTTCCACATATGACCCAACCTTTTTTCCATTTCGTCTGATTTTCCTTGTTTAACTTTTGATTGTTATTTTTGTTTATATACTCCTCCTGATCTCAGTCTCTGTGAGTGATATGCATCCTAATACCTGTCCGTGTTGCAGGGTGAGATGGGGCCAGATGGAGCCAAGGGAGACAGAGGAGAGCCAGGCATGACGGTCAGTGCAGGATCCTTTCCTCAGGGGCCAGTCTGATGACACCAAATGGCACACACTTGTCCACAGAGTAATGCTCGGGTTGTTTGTCAGAGTTGAACCATGTTTGTCCTCTTTGTTTCCATTAAGGAGGATGAGATCAGACAGTATGTTCGCTCTGAGATGAATCAGCACTGTGGTGAGTCCCTCATACAGCTTGTATTGCTCACTTGTGACTTAAATTTCACATGGTGATCACATAATAAATGAGTAACAGTCTGAGTTCGACTTTGAGCACTTTTGAGTGAAACTGTAGAAAAACAGCAGCAGTGTCATTACTAAAAAATGACCTTCATTATTCCTTCTCTTTCTGCTTCCCTCTGGTCCAATTGTTTGATCCTCAGCATGTGGAGGTAAGTGAGCCGTCCAACCTCAGCAGGACAAAAAAAAAAGGGGGGGGGTGACAAAATGGGCGGAATTTAATGAGTCCCAGCATTATACTCATGAAAATACATACTGCTGTAAAAGCTAGAGTGCATAAATTCTTTTTTCGCAACTACTTTGAATAGAAGAATTTATACCTACTAATTAAAAACACCAAGCAATTTTCTTTCAGCAATATTTAACTGTAGTTAAAACTCTCATTCAACTCTCAGTCATTTCATACTCCTCATTCCATGGTGGCCTACGTTTTCAAAGTTTAAATGAATATTTTTTGTATTGGAGCTGATAACAGATGCAGGCACACATACGGGTTATGAGGCAGCAGTTACCACAGCATGAGATGTTACTGTGTAGCAGGCTGCCCAAAAACTTTACAGAAAATAAGACCAAAGTAAATATCAAATACAAAAAAAACATTTGACCTGAATGACACAGTTGTGACTAGAGTCTTTAAAGGATTGCAGCTAGTTTCAACAGGACTGTTCCACATTGAACAATCTTGCAAAAACTTGCTGAATCCTCTGAGATGGTGTCAATGTCTGATTGTGGGAATGGATGTTGTGGTGTTTTCCGGGTGTTGTTGCCTTGTGTGTCTACATGTTATGCAGTGGTGATTGAAAGCTTGTGAAGCTAAACCTAATTTCTACATTTATATAGAAATTCTTTCATATAAATATGTATTTATTGGTATTTTTATAGCAGGCTTAGAAAGTAGCAAAAAAGTCCAAACCATGAAACTACCACAAATGGGTTTCTTAGAGAAAATAAGCCCAGTTTTACAGATTTTTATTTGGTTGTTCTGACAGCAGACATATGAATGCAACGGTTCACAGTCTTATATATGATGGTGTGATAAAGCCTTTTTTCACCCATTCTATTACTTAAAACAGAGTATTTCCTGCATTTCTAAAAAAAATTGCCGATTCAGCATCATAATATAAACAACCTCAAAACACAAATTCTAAAAGGTTCAGAAACTTTCAAACACCACAGCTCTACCACAGTCCTCTGTCCTTCTCCTTTATACATCATTTTCCTTCTCCTACCCCCTTTCCTCACGTGGTCCCTCTTGTTCTCGGAATCCTCCTTTTGCATCTTTGGCACCTCCGGTTCGCTCCCCGTCCTGTCTGGCTCTCTCAGGTTCAGGCCCCGACACTCGGTCCCAGCCCGCAGTCAGGGCTCGGCCTGCAACAGAGCAACAACTGGTACTGAAGGGGGAGAAGGGTGAGTGTTTCCTCCATCCCTCTGTCTGTGTGTGTGTGTGCTTGCCTTAACCAAAAGTTACACGTGTGTGCTACAACTGAAGATCTCTGATTATTTGGTGGTTTTCTGATCAAGAAAACAGAGAGCTCCATTTGTGGCCACTGACAAAAATGTATTTGTCAAATTGTTTAGGGACAAATACATTTGTTTAGGGTATATTGCATATTAACTGACTGGGTCTTTGGTTATTGAGCCGTTGAAAAGTTTTCACATCCTTTCACGTTTTCCACACAAACGTGTAGTCTTGAACCTATTTGATCAAAGATGAAAGACATAAAAAGATAGCAGAGCTTCCACTGACAGCTGGCAGCCTCAGGACCTCTTGGGAATTAATTCATTTCAAGGGATATTTTCTTCTGTTCTATTCGTTCATCAATAGAAAGCCATTCAGTGGTTTGTAGAAAAAGATTATTGTTAAGTTGTTTCTAACAAAGCCTACATTTAACCATTACTTTGTGTTTATGTGTTTATCTTTGTGACATTGGATGCCAGAATGGAGTTTACCATGTTCACATCACCTGTCACAGTACAGTTATGTTGAATATGGTTCTTCTTGTGGTCGTAGAGCACCCATAGTGAGATGGATCTATTTATGACGTTACATAATCCTGCAACACAAATTTGTGTGAATATACAAATCTAGAGGAGGATACTAAAGCATATCTAAGGCACTGAAAGTTTTATCCATCAAGAGCCAGCGTGAGGAATTAGCTATAAGGGGTTAGCGTGAGGAATTGGCTATAAGGGGTTTTTATTTGCCAAAGTGGACAAGAGCCCATGAACATTACTTAATTAAACTCTAAATCCTGGTTTACCTTTATCTGTTTGGACGCTGTGTAAATGTGAGAGGTGTGAAAATGTGAAAAAGACGGGCTTAAGCTTTTTTTTATGGTGCTATGAGTTGCATCTGAACGTCGATCTGAACGTTGGACGTTAAGTGAACAAGGTTGACCTGTATGTTTCTACCCGTGCTTCAGGCCGTGAGCTGCGCGTGGTGGTCAACACCCATGACCCAGACTACGAGCACATCTATTCCATAGAGGCCCTGGACAACCCCCTGGATGAACTACTGCCCTTCTCCACACACTCAATCAATCACAGTGATGGTATTCTGTGTTTCTTTTAATGCAATCATGCTTTGAAGTAGCATACACGCACAGTCTGTTTTGAGATATGTTTGTTCGTGTAATCAGAACATTGGTTTATCATTGATTTAGCTCTTGGAGCTTATCAAATTTTAGCTCATGTCCACAATCCAGTTGGAGCTTGTGGAGTGTCTCATCTTGAGTGTCTGCATTTCAGCTGCAGCACAACTTGCGACAAGAACACCCGTCTATGACCTTTCCTTTTGACAGTTTAGTCAGTCCTCCACTGTCACATTAGTGTGTTTCTCTTATGTCCCCTGGTTCAATTTAATGTACCTGTGCCATTTGCTGTGTGACTGTGTGTGTGCCTTCAATTTTGTGTGGATGTTTTTGTGTGCGCCAGCAGGTCAGGATGACAAAAAGGATTCTGAGAGAACTGTCAAAGTCGTACCAAAAAAATCAGCAAACGCTGATGCTCAGAAAACGCCAAAAATTGATGCTCAGAAAACAGTCAGAGTTACACCTCTGACAGCACAGAAATCCAGAACAGTCAGGTCCACGGAGAAGGTCGAGGGGGAAGGTAAACCATCCTGTTTGGGGGATACATTCACGGTTACCTGGCATCATGCTTGTCTGGTATCTGGCTCTTTCTGCATGCCTAAGGCTGCATTGGCTGTTTTAGCTGTTGGCATATTTTCATATAAATATAGTCATTAGTTATTAATGACTATGAATACACATGTGCATGTGTCCTGACATTCAAAAGGCAGAGGAAAATAGTAACGTATTTGTGCCAGAGTGTTGCTTTGCCTGAATAGGTGATTAAAGCGTTGGACTGGTTTGGTGATTGGAGTGTGTCTGATTTGGGTTTCTTCCCTTTTTCTTCAGTCTGTACAATCTGCTTGACTCCTTTTCTGTTCGTAAGCATACATGCCCATTGCAAACTTTGTGCGTCTGTTTGCTGCAGACCCAGCAGACGTGTGCCTGCTGCCAATGGATGAGGGGAACTGTGGACGTTACACCCTGCGCTGGTACTTCAACAGCCAGTCTCAAGCCTGTAGGCCTTTCATCTACAGTGGCTGTGAGGGAAACCATAACCGTTTCCTCCACCAGGAGGAGTGTGAGGAATTCTGTCTCGGGGAGGCCAAAGGTACGAAAAGAAGCACAGAAACATTTTCTTGTTCAGCATGACATTTCACAAAATAACCAATGGCCTGTTGTGCAGGTCTTCCACCTCATCAGACCGCACGATGATTGGGACCAACTCCTCTTCTGCCACAGGAAGGTTGGCATCTCAATGGATTTTATAGAACATTTTGTGAAATGTCAGTGTTTTTGTGTGTTTTTGTTTATTTATTATTTCTTTACCCCCCTCCCCCCAAAAAAAAAAAAAAAAAAAAAAAAATCTTTAATATTTTAACGCTGAAACTGTTTCGTCAGTTTTTTTCCCAAACCTGAGACAAAATACAAGGGAAGATCAAACTTCCCTTCCGTCACTTATACACATGGTAACATTTTCTTTTTTTTTCTTTTTTTTTTAACTGATTGTACTGGCTGAGAAGTATATCCACTCATTATTTTTAAATGCTGTTGCTCCAATAGCAGTAGCTTCTAAATCATTGTTCAAGACCATCCAAAACAAATTTCTAAAATCTGCACTGAGATTCTTTCCCACTCTTTTATGTGTTTATGTTTCCACTGAATGCTATTCTACAAACCTTTGTTTTATTGGCCCAGAGAAGCTACCTGAGACTTGATGTTACTTCTCATAACCACTGAGAGGAAATAAAAATCTATCTATCTTACTACTGATTTAAGGATCTGCATGAGCGTACTCTATTTTGACTTGGTTAACATGATATACTGAAACAAATATATTTTTTAATGCTTTTACAAAAATAAATTTTTCTCTTTTTATTATATTGTAATATTACCTTTTTGATTGAAGTAGGATGCTGTTCAAACAGTCTGCACAAAGAAAAAGATAAATTAATTCCCCTCTTTTCCCCCTTGACATTCAAAACGGGAATGATATGACTGGACAAAAGTACTCCTTTACTTAATTTTTACATATAAACTGATTCTAAGCTGATTGATATAGTACTATATTGAACAGAGTTTAGGGTCCTGATAGCACTGATCGGCCATCTCATAATATCCTTCAACAAAAAGAAAACAATCACGTGCGTTAATGCAATATCCTAGTTTACAGTTTCTAAGACAGTGGGCTCCTAATTTAGAATAATATTAATTAAATGAGGCAATTTTTGCCCTCTTGAATAAGTGTGATCATTTAAAGAACTGCCTTTATAATATTTCTGAAAAACAGATGTAATCTTTACTCTACCACTTTAAAATAACAATTTTCTTGCTCTTGACAATTATTACATTTGAACTCTGCCTGTTTACTGTATCATAAATATAAGTTGTATACAGAATGTAAGTACGGTAAGACATTTATAGACTACGCTCCAGTCTTTGTGTACACGGTTTGACGTGGTTTCGTCGTTTCTGTTTAGTAACATCATCAAAAAGATTTTGTATGCCCATACAAACTATTTAACCTGTAAGTCTCTCAGCGTTGTGTTTGAGTGTGTTTACATGCCCATTAGTCCCCACATTTATATAGTCTTCTTCAGGCTTTCATCATAACTCAGGTGTGATCACATGGAATTCGATAAACCTGGGTATTCATATGTCTAAAGTCATGGGTAGTACAGTGCCATGATCTCCCATCGTGTGCGTGAGGTTGAATTTAATTTTCGTACCATCTCGGCCATGAGGATCATCACCGGTACAGAGAATGTCTAGAAACATGGTTGGGATGTTTATGGTTAATAGTTTGAATCAGGCTCTTCTGGGATAATACATGGCCTTCTACAGAACCCAATGTTCACAGACCAAATGTTGTCCATAAACCCTGCCACAACTAGTCTGCTAGTGATTTGGTAAATGGGAACTATACAAAGAATGAAAAGCACTTTTTCACCAAAGCCCCTCTTTCCCCGATTAAAGTCTCACACCACATTTAAATGACTATGCAAGTGTTTATATACTGGGTCCTATTATGCATATAGTTCTTGAATTTGTATTGAATATGAAGAATCTAGCACAATACTCTGTACATAATATTTTTCTATATTGTATTATAGATATTATAGATATATTATATATTCTATAATATTTTGGGGGAAAGGTTACTTTTCACAACTGCATGTTTACCTGCCAAAGAAAAGGTGCTACTTTTAAAGGTATTTTGTGCTGCGTTGAAGGTGTACGCTTGTGTATTTGTGTGGTACAAACCTTTCTCTTTCTGTAATATTATGAATTATCTTAATGAGCATTTCCAATAAACAGAATGTCTGAATGAAATGATTGCGTATTATTTTGTTGTACTGCAAAGCACAACAATGTTTTGGCCAATTTCCATTCACAGCACTCAACATTTACATATGTCTTTGGGAACTGTGACCTTATCAGTTGTTTGGAGAAAACAGACCTAATATGAATAATCATTACATCTTTTTGGGTGGAGGAACTGAATTAAGTGAATGTGTGTGTAGCTGTGTGACCCATGATATGCTCTAATTTCATCAGCAGATTGTATTAATGAGTGGATTTTCCGCTTATTAACCATGACTATTCCTCCCTGCATGTCCCCATGCTTTCTACCTTCATTTGATTTCCCCTGGTTGGCGATACACTCAGCCTTTATCATCTTCATCACATTTCTCCAAGCTTGACATGCCTTCATTAACCTCTACCCTTTATTTCAAAATAACATCAACATAATCTCCTCATAAAGCTGTAATCTTTGCATTGGAAGAGGATGGCACAGCTTTTACAAATTAAAGACTCTTTCGCAAAAGCATAATTGTGACATTCTGTCAGATTTGTCTCAGCCTTTGAGTTCAAAAGCTTAAATGGTTAAATGAATGCATATAAACAATCAGCAAAACACAGCATGCAGGCCCGGGCTTTGACAATATTCTCAAAATGCTCCCAACATTTTGCATAAAAGGTATTAATGAGTCCAAATCCTGATATTTTCCACCTTCCAGCTGTCATCCTCACTCTGTACATGAGAGAGCAGTCAGCTTCTGAGACAGGCCCGTTACATCAGGGGAAGTCACCCCTGCAGAGACAAATTATAAAAGTATTTTCGAAAAGCATATATAGTTAATGTTAAAATAAGAAAATTGTCAGTTACACTTTGAAGTCCAAGATTTATTTATGTAGTTGGTGCACATCAGCTGAATTCCTTTCCTGAACCAACAGTAATGGCACTCATCAGGCTGCTATAACTGTACTAAATTATATTTGACTGAAATACCATTACAGATGCAAGTCCTATATTTATGATATCTAGTGTTTTAAGGTAGTAGTATCCAGTTTTTAGAAGCTAACATATATATTTGATATATATTCAAATAAATTTGATTAAAACACTGACAATAGTAAAAAAATACATTTTGTCGGTTTTATGTACAGAATTAAATCAACATTACTACAAGGACATTACGCAGTAATGTTCCCATATTGAGAATGCAGTTTGGGCTCTCTTTGTAATCTGGATCATCTTAAATGTTTGGTGAATTGCAGATTTTATATTGACCATAGAGTGTATTTGGTTGCTTGTCTCTGTGTTGCCCTTTGATGGTCTGGTGACCTGTCCAGCCTGTACACCCCGTCTTGCTCAATTGCGGCTGGGATAGACTTCAGTCCTCCACTCCCCTGGAAACCAGCTCGCATAAAAAATAATCTGACACTTTACAATACCCAGTGGTTGTTATATTGGGAAAGGCATTTAGCATATTTTCTCTCTAAAACACTGTTTAAACCTTTCCCAAAGATGCATAAGTGCTTACTGAACCCAAACAGAAACTAACAAGCCTCTTTCTCATTCTGCACACTCCCATGCACATACAGTATTCCTATTATAGAGAGATTGGTCATGCATTAACAAAAAACCGTAAACAGTATATGCACAGCACACATTCCTTTGGACAAATTGTTTAAAACACATTTGTTGTGTTTCTATTTTTCGATTTTTTTTCAAACGGAATCTGTGACTATAAATATACTCAGTGTGAGCCACAAAAAAAACCCTCAAATGACTATTTTCTTTTGTAACGAATATAAATGTCCTTAAAGAGTAAGATTTCAAAGCATCAGCACCTAATTTTGTCATTGCTACGGAACTGAAGTTTCATCATTCGTCTATACTAACACTATGGGCTATTGAAGTTGATGGGAAATGTGACACTGTGTTTATATTATGAATTAATGCACTTACCATTTAGTTTGCTCCTGCTTTTATCTGCACAGTTCCTTCTGTCTGTTTTTTGAAGGGTTGTGAGCGTCTGTGTGTGTGTGTGTGTGTGTGTGTGTGTGTGTGTGTGTGTGTGTGT